AAAAGGAGAAAAGGAAGAGCAAGGGAAAGAAGAGAGAAGCAGAGCAACAATACGAGAGAATGAGCAAACAAGAGAAAATGCTTCTCTTAAGTTAACAAGACACTCCCTGACCTATGAATCATAACTAGCTTTACAATTGGAGATATGACTTTTGCATAATCTATTATTTGTGGTAGGTGATGTAATGAAACATTCTTGTGGATGTTTTGCAAATGGATTTCAGTTGAATGTATTTTAATTACTGGTTGTCTTGCCTCCTCCTTTGCTGAAGGCACTGGCTGATGCTGGGGAGAGTTCCATGAGAATGTATCTCGCCCCAAAGCTCATAATTAATGAGTGGGCAGCACGACTGAAGCCCATCCTGTCCTCACCCAATGTCTGCACACAGGGCACGTTGAAGCACTGACCACTGGGCAGTGACCAGAGTAATAGCACACACGCCACCAAGCCAATTGCAGTGCTTTAACTGATGCCTTGAAAGATATCAACCAACTAAGCCACCGGGGGAGCTCTGAACCTATTTTCAATGACACTTTATCTCATTTATCAATGAGGTTTATCTCTGATGTTGGATATAATGATGTAGGATTATGACGACTGCTTCCGTTACATCAAATTGTTACGTGGAGTGATACTTCATGGAAATTGGCCATTTGGCCCAACTGGTCTGTGCTGGTGCTTGTACTTCACATGAACCTCAGCTCTATACCCCTCCCTTCTGTATTCCCAGCCGCAGTTTCAGAGTTTGAGGTGTCATTTGTTTTGTCTGCAGTGACCTGGGCGACACCATCTCCAAGTGGTTTCTCTCCCCTAGGTTACTGCGTGTCTATATCAGCTAGAATGCCAGAGAATTTATAGGCAAAACATTTCAAAACTAAAACAGTCACTTCCACTGTTTGTGGGACACTGCTGCACACAATTGGCTGCCGCTTTCACCCACAAAATACACAGACAATTCACTTTAATATATTCTGGGAAGTGCTTTGAGATGTTTCAATGACATGATAAGGCACTGTAGTAAATGTAAGAATTATTATAACTATCAATCTGTGCATAGCACAGAAAGAGGCTATTCGGCCCATTGTGCCTGTGCCGGCTCTTTAAAAGAGCTATCTAATTAGTCCCACTCCTCTGCTCTTTCCCCATAGTCTTCAAATTTTTTAATACCATAGGTGTTAGGACTTCCTTTACTCCTTGCGTGAGGGGCGCTGTATAAATGCAATTGGTTGTTGTATATAATATGGCTATAAGCTAAATGACAGGCTCTGTGGTTATTGCTAAACCACCACCTTCATGTTTCATTCACGTCTGAGATCCAGGAGCTATGCATCATTTAGCAGTTTGTTTACAGTATGTTATCCAGTCCTGCGGTGCACCCTATATATAATTCATGAATCCTCTCCATTCTGCACTCTGCAGTCCCAGTTTTTGCTCAGGCTGAATTTAAGCACATCATTATTTGCAGCTTTATTCTGATCACGTATTTCTGATGCAGAAAGGTCTTCATGGAAATAAGGCTAAGTGGAAAATATTGGCTAAATAGCTGGTTTTACAATTATTAAACAGCGTTTGTACAATTTGCAACATAAAAACGAGAACATAAAGGACTATAATGGGTGAAATGGGATCAGAAACCGACAAAAGATTATTGTAAGAGTTTTCCCCAGACATTTGTTATGTTCTCAACACTCAACATGTAGAAAACTCTTTTATTCTTAGCTCACAAATTACAAATCAAACAATCCAACCAAAAACCCTCTGGTCAATACTCCCTACTTCCTGCTTTTCTAGCTCTTGATCCTGTTTCCTTGGTCCTTGTTAATTTGTCTTTATTTTTTTAAAAGGGTATCCAACAACATTTTCTGTCTCTGCTCCACACCATCCTTACCTTTCCCACTCCACCAATGACCAAAATCGTGAATGTGGCATAGTTCAGGCTGAGACCAAAACATCCCACCTTTCTGCAGTAAATCCCACCAGCTTCCTTTTTTGGTTTGAATTATTCATTCCATCTTTTTCTAAAATGTATATTTATGAAGCATGTGGTTCAGCCCTGGGCAAAAACTTTGGAATCTAGGTCATTATATGTGTCGGCTGGAAGGCTACATTAAAGGATACATTAAAGATTTGTGAGTGGGGGTGCGGGGATAGTTAAATAGTTCCCTCTAAATTTTCTTCCTCTTTTGATTTGAAAACATGTTGACTCTTTTCCCTTTTTATTGGTGGGGAAGCGAAGGTTTCCACAAGTGTCAGGCTTTCTCCACTAGCCAATACCTGGCCTGAATGGTGCTACCAACTAATCTAAGCCAACATGAAGCTAAGATGATACTATTGATAACAGTGATATTAATATCAATTTGCCTGCAAAATACACAATAACTCCACTTACAATACATCCTGTGAAATGCCTTAAAATGTCATCCTGAGGTGATAGGCACTATATCAAATGTAAGGATCATTATAATTATGTAATAATTCCAATAGCAGCACTATTGGCAGAATTACCATTTTCACACAGCAGGGAACAAGTTACATTCTGCACATCCCAAGTAAACTCTATAATCTGCGAGACTGTTCGTGATAAAATTAGAGCAGCAGTGCTCCTGCCATTGATCATATTGCTAAGGTTAAGCTGGGGCTCAGTTTCAATCACTTTCCTGAGATTTGTCCTGTTTTTATTTGCAATGAGACTTTACAAAAAGAACTCTTACAAAGTGTCGGAAATCATATCCTTACAGCACGGTATCTTGCTACTACTTCCCACTCAGGAACCCTGCAAAAGAAAACTGTCCCGCAGTCACATTGATGAGAGTAGATTCACATTAAACATGCAGTACAGTGTCTCTGCACAAGTTGCACAGAACCACAATACAAACCAAACGGGTACCAGCTTTGACTTCGCTAATGAACTACAGCGTGCCAAAATTATGGAGCCAATCACAACTTCGTCCTATTGTTTTCGCTTATGGGTGGCCTGCTGACTTGGGGTGCAAAAAGAGTGTGAGGTTTTGATTGACGGCTGCTTGCGACAATAAATTAATTATTTGCGCAATCAATTATAACACTCTCGTCACTGTTTGACTCCAAGGGAAGAAGGCAGATGCCAACTGTTGACATAGCTCAGGATACGAGCCCACTGAGAGCTCTCAGCAGAAGAGGAACTTGGCTTCAAAGGCCGTGTATTACTGACTTGCTGCCAATACAGAAATCCGCTGTCGGCTGCTGGAGTCAACAAAAAGGCCTCTAAAACCAGCTCCTGTGATCTGCTCATCTCAGCTAAGTGCCACAGAGTCGAGGATTATAAGGTGCTGCCGCTGCAAGTCAAGAGGATGACATAAACACCTGATATGTTCATAGCTAATAAATATTTCTTATGTAGGCTGGGGTTTGTCAGTTCTCAGTTTGGTGCTGAGCGAAGTGTTTCACTGTAGTATTGCAGCTTGCACCTGGCTGTATCCATATAAATATCATGTGACCTGGCTACCCTCCATCATCTCCCACAATTGTGAGTTCAGACCGTGAGCATTGCCAGGCTAGTTGATTTTGTGAGGAGGGGGTTGGGAGAAACATCACACCTGAGCCAGACCTTGTCCTCAGTCAGGCTCCACCCCCACTCACGGTTCCATTAGGGTCATACTGATTAGCAATCAGGCGTGAGAACCCTGGCTGACCTTCCCCCCTCCGCCCGCCTCCTCCCAGCCCAAGGAAACTGAGGTTAAATTGGTGCATCAAAGCAGAGCCCCCTAACTTTGCTTCAAATTCAGCATAAGCCCCCAATTTAAACCCAGAACCTTTCTGTTCTCGGAGGGTCAGTTCCACACTTGTTCAATATTAAGCAGTACAGTCCCTGTGTCGACTGTCTTTGAGAATAATGCAAAGAGGATGTTTGAATTGACCAAGGAGGTCAAAAGTAGTTCTTCAAAGAACATACAGAAAGCCAGCCTCAAATGAAGCAGCGGGAAAGCTTGCAATATCGATGGCAAGCTGTGCAGTTTTAACTGGTTAGACTCCAGCAGTACTTTAACACACACTCTGGGGTCCTCAAGCCAAAGCTCTTAACAGGTAGGGTGGTCCTAGCTGGACAAGCAATGGGAAAGCTCGCCAGACAGTGATGTCAATGACAAGTTATGCGCTCTGAGGCGCTGCCCCATGTGAAGGGGGCTATATAAATGCAAGTTGTTGTGTTTTGGCTGGTTAGATCCCAGTACCCCAACCAACACTCTGGGGTCCCCAAGCCTGGCTCCTGCCAATTTGCGCCTAATGCTTTCTTTCAAGGAGAGAGTGCGCGTTCCGTTCCAACAATTCATTGCTGGAATTTCCATGTGTAGGTGGGATGCATGGAATTTTCAGCTCGGTTTAGAAACTCTTAAGCTTGATGATGGTTTTCCCCATCTATCAAGACACCAGGCTGACCAGACACCATTAAAAAAAATCTAATGTAAGACTCCGTTGAAGCATTTGCTGAATTCGAGACGCTACGACGTGCCAAGACAACAGAGTAAATGTGGACCTGGTTGAACTTTTATTGTGAATTTGTGGAGTCCTGTAGCTCAGTGGTTAGAGCACTCGCTTTGCAAGCGAGAGACCTGAGTTCAATTCCAGGCACAGGGCGAAACCCTGGGCAAGTTTCCTTACTCCACACGCCTAATAATAATCCCTCCAAAACCCCAAAAAAGCAATAATAAATTGGTCATTTTCAATCCACGACGGTTTGTGGGACATTGCTGTGCGCAATTGGCTGCCGCGTTCGCCCACAAATATACAGTCAATTCACTTTACAGTGTGTTCTGTGAAGCGCTTTGGGACGTCCTCCCGACGTGAAAAGCGCTGTATCAAATGCAAGGATTATTATTATTATTATTATTATTATATTCTACCACTGGGGACTAATGAGAGCGTTTCTGGGAGGACATCGCAAAATGGGCTTTCCTCCAACAGCGCCACCTTCGCAAACCTGTGCTCACTGCCCCGAACACCCGAGCAGATCAGTGAACAGGGAAATGGTTACACTGAAAGGAATCCCGAGCATCATATCCCCGGACCTGCTTTACGTTTTGGCTAAAATGGGACACGGAGATGAAATCGGTAAGAGTTGCGCGTTCCTTTATCCTCGACAGCGACTTGACCCGAGTTTCAATGCGCTCGGCTCTGCCTCACAGACCCAGAGGGAGGGGTCGGCTGGTCCGGCTTTAGTGTTTACTTCCGCAAAAGTGCCACTTTCTGTTTCAATAATCGCAGTCAATTATTTTCAACCCCTCAACGCTGCAATCTGCAGCACTACTTACCATACGATTGCAATCGATACATGCAGGGGGATTTGTTCTTGCACGTCAGGATTATTTTTTTTTGCTCATGAGACAATCCTTCCCCCACCACTGCAGGTCCACCCCTCCCACCCACCCCCAGCCCCCCCTCCACCCCCAGCCACCCCCCCTAAACCCCTTTTAGTTCCGCAAAATCTTGATATACACTGGTTGTTCAGCCCTGACTTTAGTCCGTTTCATATCCTTTGTTCCTCTCTGTCAATAGTACTAATAATAATCCTTGCATTTGACATCGTGCCTTATCACATCGTCGAGACGTCTCAAAGCGCTTCACAGGATATAGCGTAATGTGGATAGGCTGTGCATTTTGCGCCCAGCACACAGCAGCAATCAAATGAAAATGCACTTGGAACAAGTTTGCGTTCGTCCCAATCTTACACCTGACCTTTGCTCGCCACGATTGGTACATATTTCGCATTTGCAGATCGCAGTGAAGTTTAATAATAACATGCCGAACCACACCGGAATGCCCTGTTGCTGACACATTTATGTACCAAAAAGAAGGCCCATTTTAATGGCCCCACCTCCCCCTCCCTGAACCTGCAAAAATCCTATCCATCAATGTCAGAACTCCGCGATTGGAATAACAACCCTCTGGTGATTTGATTTGCCACAGAAAATGACTTATTAGACAACGGTTGTTATTAAGTCGGAAACAAAGTAACCGATCCCCCAGAATCTTTCATCATAAGTTTGGCATTGAAGTAACATACCCAAAAAAATAATTATAAACTTTTCATTTTACCAGTATGTTGAAACTTGCAGGTGTGATACAAGTGTGGGTCAAGGATAAAATATTTTTTTTGCGTGCGCCAGAAGCATAATATACGCAGAAATGTAAGCTACATTATTTTTCCAAATTAGTTTGATGGATTACATACAGTTATAATAATAATAATCATTGCATTTGATATAGAGCCTTTCAAGTCAGGAGGACATTACAAGTGCTTCCTTCACTTCATGACTATCTGTGGGACTTGCTGTATGCAAATTGGCAGCTTCATTTGCCCACAAATTTATATGGTCAGGAACCTTAGCGTGAAACGTTTTGAGATGTCCTCCCAACATGAAAGGTGCTATAGCAAATATGAGGATTATTATTGTTACTCTAAAGTATAATGACTGTCTACCTTGTGAGTGAACATTCTGAGTTATAATGCAACTAAATTGTACCTGGCTCATCTGAGATGTGGCTCCATGTAAAGTATATGTCATGGGGCTTGTTGTATTTAGATCTAGGACCTGGGGCTATTCACCACGAGCTGTCAGTGCCTAAACATTGGGTGTGAATATGATATACTGATTAGCGATGAGACAATCTGAACCTCCTCCATTTCCCAACCTCTTTCCCAACCTCTTTGGGATCAGTTTCATGTATAGTCTTGGCCAACAATCCTGTAAACAAAATTGGTCATTTACTTTGGGGCTGTTTGCTGTGCGCAAATTGGCTGCCCCAGTCTGCATACAAATACAGTTGTTACATTTCACAGTAAAATCCTGTGAAGAGCTTTGAGATGTCACAATGGACACAAAAAAACACTGTATCAAATACAAGAATTATTACAGCCCTCCAGAGCCCTCTGCCTTACCCAAGAGACCATTTTCATTTGTAAGCCTCGCAGCTATGCCCAAATGTACCTTCATGCATTCCTGGGCAAAGATTCGATGTACAAGCGAGACTGAAATCAACATGTCCCAATTGCTGCTCTTTCAGAACATTTGCTTGCAGAAAATTGCATTTGACTGTTTATGCTGGTCTCGAGATACCGCTACAGATAAACTGTTGAATTGCTCACTGAATTCAATCATTGCGCGTTCCTGACTGCATTTTCCAGCGCTGGACTCTGCGTGAAGTTGTGTTACTCAAGGAATCTTGATTCACTTTCTGATGTTTTGTCTTCCAGTTCTTGCTGATGGCAACTTCCCCACTTCCTCTGTGTGTCGATCTGGTCCCACTGAAGTCAGAGCTGATGGTGAGTGTTCCCGTTCAGAGAGATCGCATTGGAAAATCTTTGGGAAAGTTTTGGGAAAACAAATTACAAGTCAAGTTGACCACAGCTAAAGATTTATTTTTACCAATTCACTCCTGTTTTACTTACTTGTGCAGTTGGTTAGAACACTCATCTCACAAGCTCAGATTTGATTTCCAGGCTGGGCCAAACTTAGGCAAGTTTCTTTACTCTACATGCCTCTACTTACCTAGCAGTAAGTTGGCAACTGGATGTTAGTCGATTGGCAGATTGCTTTCTGGGGCTAATAATCCCTTCAAAAATAAATAAATAATTTGGTTACTCAATCCATGACTGTTTTTGGGACACTGCTGTGCACAATTGTCTGTTGCATTTTGCTCACAAAATATACAATCAATTCACTTTACAGTATATTCTGTGAAGCGCTTTGAGATGTCTCAATAATGTGATAAGACAGTATATCAAACACAAGGATTATTATTATTATCATTACTTTTAAAATATTTTAGTAATTTTCTTCACCTCACTTCCCTTCCCGCATCTGGCATATGCTCATCAAATACCTTCAACAGTGAGGTAGACTGCTCCCAGGTCTTGTTTAAAGCTGCTTCACAACTGGCTATGAGAGGAGTGCGAAATTGCGCAGAGATGACTGACAAAAGAAATACCTCCTGGTTTCAGTCCTAAAATTGCCCTTCACAAACCTGAAGCTACGCCCTCTTGACCTGACAAATCAAAAAAGGATTTTTTTCTGGTCTTCATTCTCTCAATCCCATTCGGATCCAATGTACAACATTAAATGGCCTGAAAGGCCTTCTTTATCCATGTCTCTCTTCTAATCTGCAATCCCTGGAATGTCAGAAGCATTGGAAATGCTTAACATCTGAAAGAGAAAGCAAGGCTACCATTGTCGCTGTCCATCTGGACCAGTCGTATCTATTAATTTATCTTCCTCTATCAGATGTGGTGCATCTCCAGCATCTTAGATTAATTTGCTTATAATTCAGATTTCCAACATTTAAGTTTTACATTTTCTTTTGAACTTAGTGAATTTGCCCACACTAGGACTTGAGCTCAAAATCTGGACTGACACTCCAGTGCAGCACTGACTGATCAAGACAATACTGTTGGAAGTGGCATCAATTGGTGAACTGGTGAGTGTCCCACCAATTGATCCAAACTTGCTGCACAAAGCGAAAGCCCGTGGATTTTAAGAGCTTTTTGATGCCTTATGCTTATTTGAAAGGGGTACGTGGCAGGCTGTGACCAGCCACCAGGTGGTGTGCTTCTGCAGTAAAGATAGGTCTTGCTTCCCTCTGGTAAATTGATCATTGGACTGGGTGTATGGGATCTGGGATGAATCAGGCTCTGTCCTGATTTTGCTCAGCACGCATCCAGCCACGTTTGCAAATCATTGCCACGCAGGCGTGTGGGTAGTAGCAAAGGTTGACTAATCTCGAATGTATGCAGAAATGTCTTTGAACCGGGGAGATTAGGATGCTACCCTAATCATGTTGGTATACTTTTTCATGTGTGAACTTTTTCAATGCAATGATTCTATGCAATTTTGTAAACCTTTATCTTGTGGCTCAATGCAGCCAGGCTGGGAGCAGTAAGGAACACTGGAAGGAATGGTTTGACCTGCTCCTATCTTATATTTGTTGATGGGGAGAGGTAGCAACAGGAACAGAGGGGGATTTGTTGAACTAAGAAGAGAGATGGCTATAGATATTCCTCAAATGTGGGATTCCATCTTAAAACTCTTACAATTATAGGAATTGTAGCAGAGAAGACGGTCATTATATCAATGAAACCTACCCTCATGTTAGATCCTCCATAGGAGCTCTGCACTCTAGCCCCAATTCCCTTTCTCCAAATACTTTTATATTGGTTTACTTGAAGTACTTATCCAATTGCTTTTAAATATGGTTGGCATAATAAAGTGTGTGCTGACCTTGCATTGAGACCCGTTATTGAATTGACTGGACCTGGCTGCGATATCTTTAACGAATTAACTACTTGATATTATACAACAATTAAGTCCAAAAAACATCACATCCACTGTCATGTATTGTCAGTAAGCACTGACACTGGTTTATTCGGTCATTTAATCCACAACTGTTTGTGGGATATTGCTGTGCGCAATTGGCTGCCGTGTTTCACTTACAAAATACGCAGTCAATCCACTTTACAATATATCCTGTGTAGCGCTTTGAAACATATCAAATGCAAGGATTATTATTATTATTTTCATGTGAATGGATGATATTTGTGTGCTATGTGATGAAGCCCATTCAATTCCACTTGCATTTTAAGTTACAGTCCTTGTAATTAAAGTTCAAAGCATCTTCAATAAAATAATCTATAGAAAGTGAGATTGTACATTTGTTTATTTGTGACCGTACTGTCTGGACGGTAGCTTTAGAAAATTTTAATTATTTTAAATTCTAATTGGAGTCAAGGCTGTGATCTTGTACATTGTAACTTTCTTGCTTTTGTCTCCGAAGGAATGGGTATCCCAGAGTTGCTGCAGGCCATTCTGAAGCTGTTCCCGTTAGACACCTACATCATACACCCAGTAAGTCTCCCAGTAAGTTAGGTTCATCCATAGGGTAGTTCACAAGATCACAAGAGCAATTCAGATGACAAAGTGCTGTTCAACTCTTTTGATCTCTTACTTTCAGAATGGCCACCCTTACCCATTGATTACAGCATCAAGCTAATTCTTAAATGAGTCCAACATCTTGACTTCAACCACCCTTCCTGGTAAACAATTCCAGCTGTTGATGCCCCTGTATTCAAATATTTTTTAAAAAGCTTTACAATATATTCTGTGAAGAGCTTTTAGATGTTTCAACACATGAGGTGCTATATCAAATGCAAGGATTATTATTATTAAAATACTATTAAAATATTATTAAAATACTTCCAAGTGTCCGATCTAAAACTACCTATTGCAGCCCTATATTGTGCCCTCTTGTCCTGCTGCTTTGGTGTATGTGAAAGTATTGTTGTGGGCTTATTTATCAATCTAAAATTGGTGTCATATCAAGTGAGACATCTCCTCCCTTCATATAGTAAAATGTCTATATTTTGTGGGCGAAATGTGGCAACCAATTACTAGGGAGACGGTTGAAGCCGGAAATATTGATTCCTTCAAACACAGATTAAATAGTTTATTTTACGAAATAACATTATGGATTGTAGTACATATATAGTTCAGGATATATGTGCAAGTGACCACTAGGAAGGTGGCAGACGAACTAGATGGACCTTGGTCTTTGTTTTTGTCTAGCATTTCTTATGTTCTTATTACGCACAGAAGTGCCCCACAAACAGTTGTGGATGGAGTGACCAATTTTGGGGGGGCTTATTAACCCCAGAAAGCGATCCGCCAATCGACTAACATCCAGGTTCCTACTTATTGGTAAACAGAGCCATGTGAAGTAAGGAAACTTGCCTTAAGTTTCACCCCACTTGCGAAACAAGTGATCTAACTAATACGCTACAGGACTCCACATAAAATGCGATGCTGAAAGCACTTTATACAGTCAGGTCTCAGATGAGAATGAAGCTGAGCTCAGGGAAGTTGGCCTTGTAGGACGATCAATATATTGGGAAATTGGACTCCACAGGGTATACTCAAATGTCAGACTGCAGATTAGGGTAAACAGTGCTGAATCCTTAAAAGAAGAAAACTCCCACCAGTAAAGCAAATCTTCGGCATTATTTCACCCTTACCGCAGACTTAGTAATAAGAGCTCAACAAAAAGAAGTGCCTTGGCGAAAGGAGTTACGCATATTCTACATCTGTTTCAGGCTCCTGACAAATATTTCTGCTGCTGGGGAATTTTGTGTGAGGTGCAATAGCATAAATATTTGAACTCTTCTAAGGAGTGTCAGCTTGGCTCAGTGGTAGCACTCTCGTGAGTCGGAAAGTTGTGAGTTCAAATCCCACATCTGTAAGCTGACACTCCATTGCAGTGCTGGAGTGTGTATTGTTGGAGGTGCCGTTCATCAGAAGAGATGTTAAACAGAGGTCCTGTCTGCCTGTTCATGTAAACATTAAAGATCCTATGGCACTATTCAAAAAGAGAAGGGAGTTTCTCCCTGTGTGCTAGCCAACAATATACCCAAAGTTAAAATTGGCTATTCATTTCGTGACTGTTTGTGGGACATTATTGGGCACAATTGGGTTGCCACATTTGCCTAAAAATAAACAGTTACTCCATTTTCACAGTAATGCCTGACGAGATAAGGCCCTATACCAAATGCAAGGATTATTATCGACAGCAGAGAGGATGCAAAGCTGAATTAGTGAGCGGTGAATCTTGCTGCTGAACTTGGCATTTACATTTATTCTGTTCTACCTCCTACTCATTCCTCATTTTTCTCCCCCCCCATTCCTTTGTTCATTTGCCCGTCTCTAAAAAGTGTACGGATCAGGATTGGTGCTTGCTTCATGCCAGGCTGGTGAAGAAGGTTTGTGCTTTAGTGTGTGCTGTTCCTGTGGTGCAGCAGATGCTACGATAGGGCTCAGCGAAGAGAACAGATGGTGGCGCTTAGAACGTGCAACCTTCTGACCCAGAGGCGAGAGTGCCACCAACTGAGCCAAACTCACACTTTTGAGGTGCTAGAAAATGCGCTGGGTGGGTGGGGGGCGGTGGGTGGGGGTTTGCACGCATTGCTGACACAAATGCAGGGCTGCCTTTTGATATCTGAGCCTGGCACCTCTTGCATTTCACTTAATGACAGTATAATCGGTCACTCAACACCAATGGTTTTCTTTGCTCCGAACCCCATTGACCATAACGCTTCCAAGCTCTTTCTCCCCATTGCCTCCTTGTGTTGTGTGGATGGCTTAAGGTCAGATGTGACTGACTCTCTGCATCCTTCAGTTGTGTAACATTTTTATGAAGACAGATTGAATCTAATAATAAGAATAATCCTTGCATTTGATACAGTGCCTTATCATGTCTTTGAGACGTCTCAAAGTGCTGGAAAGTGAATTGACTGTATATTTTGTGGGCGAATCGTGGCAGCAAATTGCATACAGCAGTGTCCCACAAACAGTCATGGATTGAGTCACCAAATTATTTATTTATTTTTGAATTTGAAAATTATTGCAAAAAGAAAACTGTAATATTGCAGTCTTATTAGACATATTATTTCATATATTATCTGTTGATATGAGTTCAACTACCAAAGTGGGATGTAGAACTCACAACCTTCTGATTCAGAGACAAGATTGTCAACTTCTGAGACAAACTCATACTTTGCAAGAGAATTGAAATGCACAAATATAACTCTCTGATCCTGCTGAGCATATTTTTTATTGGTCAAGCTGGCACATGCGGGAAACCGCGGAAATGTTTAAGAGTTTCCAGCCAAATTTCTGAGAATTGCACGTATGCATGGGAATTTCTGTTTGTCTGGAATGGAATGTCTTCCTGGATGGATGCATCCTGCTCACCTAGTCTTGGAAAGTATTAGGCGCAGGTTAGCGATAGCCAAGGTTTGGGACAGAGCATACATTGATGTACTACTGGCATTTAACAGACACATGCCATTGGAAACACTGACTGGCAAGTCTGTGGCTAGGACCAACCTACCTGTTAGGGCTTTGGCTTGAAGTGTATCTAGGTGTAGTCATTTAAAAGGGCAATATTTTCACAAAAAAAGTGGAACCGTTTTTTCAATAGGTATTTGGGGAGGGAATGAGTTGGGTGAACGCTGCATTGGCTTCATCACATCGAGGTTACATGTAACGTTACAGTGCTACATTCTGGTATAATTTACTCCACAGGCCTGCATATGGGTCATCTTGAATTGTGCGTGCTGTAAATCTACGCGAGTGATGTGCTGAGAGTGGATTCATGTGACGGAGCCTTACAACAGAATGCTGGAATTTCTTCTCTCCCTGATTCGACTGCTTCTTTTGTTTTGGTTTTAGATTGCTTAAAATATGAACCTTGAAACCATGGAAGGTAAAGTCAGTGGGGGAAGAAACACCCATGTGTAAGATACAATGTGAGAACGGGGGGATAAATAAAAAAGATGTTCCCAAACATAGGATATTGCTTTAAGAAGTTAAATGGCAATGGAGAAAGGCAATGAAATAGAAGCAGGAAGTATAAAAGAATCCTGGGAAAGGAACCAGGGTTTGGATTTATGGTTAAAGTATTGGAAGTGTGTGTGGAGAGTGCGGGGGAAAAAAGAGACAGAATTGTTTTCATTTAATCCATCAGTACTGTGGATTGAGAATCTTTCCACCACTCTCCAACTTAACCAACGGAGTACAAAAATGTGCAGGAGCAAAATGATGAGTGTTGGGCCTCTTGTCAAAACAGTTGCAGTTATGGCAACAGAGGGAGGAGAATAAACCTTCCAGTGGAATGGCAGTGTAGATGTTTTGAGAAGACAGCCCATAGCTGCAGAAACCACATGCAGGAAAATGAGAAGCTGTGAGACCTTTTGCTTGTCAGCAACGTGTGGACTGCAGTGTGATTTATGCTGCGAGTGACAGGAAATTGTTTTTGCAGCTTTTTATGTTGCTCCCTGCAGTGGTTAAATCTGAGGCAGATTTTTCTTTTTTTAAACAAGATCCTCACAAGTGGCCTTGTTGGGTATTGCAATGGATTGCAGGCTCCATGGAATGGTTACAAGGTGCAGCTATTGTAGTCTTTGAGCACAACTGGAGGGTGGGTTACAGTGGTACTGGGTCATGTCCTGTATCATGAGATTGCTGGCATCAGCACTGCTGTTCTACTCGCCTTTGGGGTCTAGGGGGGAAGGAAAGAGAGAAGTGTTAAGTAAGAGGAAACTGAAGTAGGAGCCTTCATATGTTCACAGTACTGTGGGGCTTCTCTCCCTGTGAGTGGAACTTCATCTCGTTGGGTTTAAAGGGAAAGGTTCTAAATAGCTCTCTCTCTCAAACAGCTGGTAAAAGACTGATGGGCTGTAAAATTCTGTAAGCTTGACCTCAGTGAGATGCTGCTTGCCTTAACTTTTCTGCCCTTCCTCCCACCCCATCCCTCTCCTTGGATGGTCATTAATGTTGGTCATCAGTTGACTGATGTTAAGTGGAGAGTTGATGACACCAGGAACATCTCCAAAGCCACACTGAAACTAACACAGCCTCACTTTCAGAGTTCCCAAATTATACCTGGCCACTGAATTGTGGAAAATTCTTAAAATGCATCTCAATTTTGAAGTGTTATTTAAGAACTGTGGAAATAGCTCCACAATTGTGTGCTATCTTAAATTTTAAAAGAAAATGCTCTTGTTGACTAAGGCCTGATGGTAAGGGGAATTTCAGTGCGAGTACATTGCACCACCCTCCATGTAACAGCCAGGACACACTGTGATCCATTGAATGGTGATTCCATTAGTTAGAGGTGCAGAGTTTCAGCTGTGGTTGCTTAGTACTGACATACCAACTGGAGTTGTCTCTGAATCACAGGTACAAAGTGTATGTGCTTGCAAAGCGCCACTCCAGCCAACGCCTTCCAGCAACCGATCTCCTTGGCTGGCCTCAACTTGTTCCTCATTGATCAGCATTGGCCACTCCAGCATCACAGCTGTGATCAGTCTCAGTGACAGGCAAAATGCAGCACAGATCATTAGATGGGGTGACACTACCTACTCAGCAATTGACCAGCCAATTCAGTTTCACCAACAGCCAGAGTCTCCAAAGCACTCGATGAAGAAAATAATTTAAATGTATTTCAAATTGTTTGTGGTTGGTGCATTGTCACAGCCTCCAAGCTTCACCCCAATATCACCCCACAAGAAAACATTTAGCATTGCGCCGTCAGATCCAAGATGTGGGGCTACTAGTGGTAGCCAAGACTTTGGACTGCATTTATCAAGAGTTGTTCTGCGATTTGTGCTTCACTAGAGTACAACAATCAGTCCCTATATTATTGTGTGTCATTTTGACTCACTTGGAAGCATACTTGCCTCGGAGTCAGAAGTTTAAGGGTTCAAGCCTCACATTGAGAGATGGACTCAAAGTTTACAGAGAGATACAGGGGGAGTGCTGCCCTTCGGATATGATGTCTTCTTTCCCTCCTCAGGTGGATGTTGAAGAGCCTACTATGTAACATGATTCAAAAAGAGAAAGGAATTTCCCCTGATGTCCTGCACTACACACTTCTTGGCTGTCTGTGTGACCTTGCGAATAGCTGTTGAGTTTGCCTACAAACCCATTCACTACACTAGCAGTAATTGCTTGTGAAACACTTAGTAGTGGTTCCCTGGGTTTAGCTACTGTAAAAGAGCATTTCTATACAGTAAAATTTGCTTAGGTTTGATCTGTATAAATTGTATAATCACCTGAGTCATACACCTGACCAGGTCCTGTTCAAGAGTTTATAATCTATGCAAGTTTCACATAACTCATACTTTGCATACGTCATATCAGTATGGTCCCAACTGATATAACATTTGTGTGAGATTTATTGTACCAGGTTTACTGCCCTCTGACCATTGCAGAGGTCTGATGTTTATAACTGTGATTGCACAGGATCATTCCCATTGGCACTGAGTGACTGTGAGACCCAGTACAAACAACTATCTGTGCCTGCCTGAACAGAAAGAAACAGAGAAAAAGCGAGATTATTATCAAAACAAAATCCACAGAATATTCATCACAGCAGCCACCGTTCAACATTTGTTTCCTTCCCTCCATAGACATCTCTCACCCGATCCCATTCCTGTTTGCTTTTCTAACCACAGTCACTACACTTCAAAGTGACTTGTTGCGTGAAGTGCTTCAAGATGTTCCTGCCTGATTAGGGGCTGTATCAAATACAAGGGATTATTTGTAATGCTTTACTTGATATTGAGGACCAGATGCCTGTTCTGTTCAAATGATGTTCTGTTTATGTAACGCAGCTTTATTGGAAGATGATGACGGATGTCCTAACATTTATCAATTGATTAATCCTGTGATTTCAGAAAAGCCTTTAATGAAATGAGAGTCCTCTTTGCCAGCTGCTGTTGTGCATAATTCAGAGGAAAAGTTACGCATTGATCCAACCCCTGGACCAGTATAGCGGTAACTTGACTTGGATCAAGTTTACGAGTGTGAAAAGCTGGCCAGTGCTAGAGATCTCACCATTTGGGCTTCAACACATCACCAGAGGTTAACACCTCGACTGCTTAATCCAGAAATATGCTTCAGTCAGCAAGTAGAGGCTGTTAACTGTGTAACATAGTGTAGACTGTAAGGGCTCGTCTGATCTTGATGGTGGATGCAACCCACACCGTTTTCGAATGGGACTTTTTAATATGGACTCTGTAGTTGAAAGGCCTGTATCTTTGTGGGACCTTAATTATTGTGCAGGTAAATGAAATGAACGCTTTGCACCAGCACTGTGCCAACTTAGACGAGTAGCCAATTAGTCCAGAGGATTGGTGGTCTGGAGAAACTCCCTTCTCTTTTTAATAAGTGTCATGGCATCTTCAATGCCTGACTTGGTTTACAAATCTCGTACAAAGGACAAACACTTCCAATAATGCAACACTCCTCTGGCCATCGGTGGAGCCTCACCACACCGCCCCACCCCATCATTGGTGAGAGCCAGCCTTTTATGCAGGTTGGAAGGCATGTGTTGAGTGCGTGAGTACATCATCGAGCAGTTGCCACTGTAGGCCTGACTTTAGAAATCAGGTTGACCATCCTGGTGAATCCCTAGTGCGTTTGTCTTTGGAAAAATAAAAACAACATCTTGAGATTCTCCGAGCATAGTGTAGCCAATGTTTCCCCCCCCATCCCAACCTGAGGGTGAATCATGGAGATATGATTAGTGGCTCAGGGGAGCCTGTTAAAGGTTTTATCACGACTGTAAAACTGCTCCATTAATTCTCACCCAGATTTAGATAGGAGTGCGTTAATTAGCTGCAGACGTCATCCCTAATGTGAGCTATGTACACAATGTACTGAACTTCACAGCAGGGCACATTTGACCAGAATAACAGGATTCCTGCGCCAAATAGCCAAATGTACATTCTCGTACGGTACTGCTCTAGAACGTTGGTCAGTACAAAAACAAACTGAAGGAAAGAAAGCATGCGCTTTGTTATAGGACTTCATCATATCGAGAAGTTTCAAAATGCTTGATGTATAATAATAATCATAATTGTATGTGGCAATGTAAGAAAAATCATAGTTCCTATAATCATCAGTGCAACTGGGACTGTCAATGCAGTGACTGCTTTTGTTGGCGATCGTTTGTTACGCAGCAAAAGTGCCTCAAGCAGTCGTGAGGTGTGACTGAGATCAGTACAGACTTGGTACAGAATGAGGGTTCAAACCTTCAACCTTTTTGGTCTGCGTTCTCCAGTGCTGCTTTGGTGGCTGTTAATCACAAAGCTGCCCGGGGAAGCTATTACAACAACAATATACTTGCATTTATATTGTGCCCTTCACACAAAATAGTGTGACAGAGCACGGAGTGCTTAACAGTGACAGAGCCTAACCCTGAGCTGGGGGTAGGTGAATGCAGGCACTGTTGAAGAGGATGAGGCATGATCTGAAAATGAGGAAGGAGGGGGCAAAGTAGAGGGACTGAGGGAGAGAGTTCTGGGATGCTGTATTGATGGTGGAACAGAGGGCACGAAGGAGGCTGGAACCAGCCGAGTGAAAGCAGTGAGTTGTGGCATGGGGAATAAGCAGTTTGGAGAGCTGGGCTGTATTTGTGCTTTAATAGAATGGAAATGACTATTCAACCTGGGCTATCCATTACCCAGGGTCTTCTGCAGCTGCGAGGAACATGAATTCAGTCACTTTAACACAAAGTGGACATTTATTACCTCTGTAAGGTGCCCTGTGGGTAAGGCTGTCACTGTGGCATTGCACAAGTTATTAGGCTGGAGCTTAGCATATCTCTTACCATAAATTCTATCAGGATTTTTAAGAACCTGGATTTGCCCCAGTCTCACATGAGGCTCATTTATTCCATTTATTCTGTTTCCCTCGGTGTCGGTAGAGTCTTGGATTTCTCCTGCTGACTGTCTTTTCATTATTTTCTTGATCTTGTAATCTCATAATCCTGTCTGTGTTTCTCATTAAATCATTAGTGACCCTGCGCTTCTCAGCTCCTCCACTTTTCAGCTCTATCTCCCATCGCCTCTAGTCATCGGTCAGTCAGTTGAGCTCCATCTCCTGGCTCCGTCTGCAAAATCTATAAATCTTTGGCCAACACAAAGTACAGTTACTATGTGACAACAGTGGCAAAGGAACCAGAAAGGAATAAAAGTGCAAAGCAATAAAAGTGACAGTGGTAGAGGTGAAAATACCACGGAATGTTGGTGCTCTGTGTACTAAAATCCTAACTCCTGGGGACCCTGATATTAAATGGCTTAACTCTTTGGCCTGCGTTGTGTCTTTCAGGCAGCAGTGATGGACCTGGTGGATCAGGATAAGGAGAAAGGCCTCAAGACTCCAGTCTGGGAGAAATATCTGGAATTATTGTCGGACGTTGGCTGTGAGGTAACTGGAGCAGCTCAAGTATTGATGGCTCTGCCTTGGAGTAGCACTACTATAGGCCAACAATTACAGCTCGCTTCAGAATAGTGCGCGTCCACTTACAGTGCAGTTGCACTATAGACCCATTCGTGTGTAAAGACAGCACCCCCACAACAATGCAGTGCTCCCCCCCAGCCCAGTGCTGCGCAGATGTGTCAGCCTGCTTACAGGGACTTGGTTTGACAAAGATGGAGGGTGCACATCCTCTACTGTGTGTGCAGCTCCTCTCTCTGCAGCACGGACACGTGACTTGACTGTATTGATAAGCTGTGTGGAGGAGATTGATTAACCAGCCTGTACCATTGGGAGACCTGACAAGCAAGTAAACATTACGCAGATCAATTATAACCCTGGCGATCGAGTTTACTCTCTTAATAATGGAAACAGAGAACAAGTGGACCTTTGAACCAGATACCTCTGCTCCTGTCTCTGTCAGATATCTCCTCTCTCTATCTGTCTTTCAGATGAGACATTAAACTGTGGTCCTGACTACTTGTTCAGGTGGACATTAAAGTCGCCGTTCAAATGACACTGTTTGAAAAGGGAAAGGGGTTCCTCTTGGGGTCCTGGCCAAGAATCTCCCAAATAATGTTGGTCGCTCACTCCATGAACATTGTAGGACATTGCTGTGCGCAATTGTGCTGCCGTGTTTGCCTACAAATACAGTCATTACATTTCACAGTAAATCCTGTGAAGTGCTTTGAAACATCCTTCCAACGTGATAAGGCGCTATCCCAAATGCAAGGATTATTATCAGTCTCCTCTCTGTCGCACGACTCCTCCAACATAAATCAGATTCTAACAATGGAGGCACCTCGGGGTAAATTTGATGTGGATTTCTCATGTGGAAGAGTGAATATAAATGGGAGGAAAGAAAGACATTATAGTTTCTATTAGCTTGCAGTAAACTGATTCTTAATAACTGTACTATAAATTCTTTGGCAGCAGTTCATTAAGATGCTATGTGGAACAGCAGTTCTGAATACTCCATACCCACTTTGCATCATTATCTTTTATTCTGCTTTGTAAAAATGTCCCTCTGGCCTGGTGCTTTGCAGACACATAAATAGCCCACAATTTAATGGCAGGTTCAGTAAAACTCTAAAATGGCTCTTGGTAATTTGCAGGTAAATGCGAATTTAAAGGCAGACTCGCATCAATCAGTCCCTGGCCCTTTTCCCACTCCCGATATGAAACATGACTGCAGCACGCAGTAATTTGCAGCCGCCTCTTCTCCCTGCTCGGTGCACCAGGAGCAGTGATAAGTTAACGTATGTTGGAAGAAGGATGATTTAGAGTCTTTTTGCTGCATTATGCTTTGCCTATATTAAACTTCATCTGCCACTCATTGGCCCGACTGCTGAATTAGTGTAGATGTCCAGGAATGGGATTGATCTTATTTGTGTTATTCACCAGTCCAGATAGCTCGGCATCATCAACAAACATAGACATGCTCTCTCCTCCCAAATTATTTATAAATGAGTTGAAATGGTGCAGAGCCCTGTCACTGCCTCAGAGAGAGATTTTTCCTTTTAATAATAAAAAATCTTACATTTGAGATAGCGCCTTTCACAACAGAATGATGTATCAAAGTGCTTCATAGGTTATACTCCAAAGTGTAGTGACTATGTATTTGTAGATTAACATAGCAGCCAGTTTGTACAATGTCCCATCAAGTCTTTTGAAGTGAATGACAAATGTTATCCTGGGGATTGTTAGGCAGGATATCAGGAGAAATTCCCTTTTGAGTAGTGTCATACGATATTTAATATCCACCTGAACAGTCAGACGAGACCTCATCCGAAGAGTGGCACCTCCAACAATGCTGTCACACATCCCCAGCAGTGCACTGGAGTGTCAGCATAGACTATCTGAGTTCAAAATCTTGACATGGGGCTTGAACCCATATTCTTCTGATTCAGAGGTGAGAGTGCAACCAATGGAGGCAGTCTGACAAACAAACAAACAATAGGTTATGTTTGCTATTGCCAAGGCAGTTTTATTTAACCCAACTACTAAACTTGAAGTAGACAACAAAATAAGTTTTGTTATAAGCAATCCTTCCATACAGAAATGTACTTGACATTTTGCAAGACCTGACCTATTTAGTAGAAGGAAGAAACTAAAGTGATATTGCGTTTGAAAATTGCCCCGAAACAAGTTTATTTTTATAACATTTCTAAATCTGCCTGTAATGATTGTTTTCACCATAGGAGAAAAGAAAGAATATCAAAGAGAGCGAGAGAGAAGCTGAGGAGTTATCTGAGAGAGCAATCAAACTTGTTGAGATGCTGTCTATATTCCGTCTTGAGATGGCTGTTCGATAGCAAGGTTAGAGGAAGTTTACGGCACAACACACAAAAGGGTTTGAATTTCATTGCAGTCTGAGCCATCGGGAGATAGCGGCATTAGATGCCGAGTCTGTCTCAGGGTTTATAATTCAGACAGACATTTTATATTGCTTGTTCTTTCAGTTCAGGTTTGAGAAATTGGATTGAACTGAAGGGAGTCTTGAAACAAAAGGCCAGCATTTCTCCCTCCCCCTCTCTCCCGTCCGTTCCTCCCCCACTCAGAGCAGATGGGAGAAAATTGCACCGAGTTTTGATCTCAGTTTGACAGACATTTTGAGGGGATACATGGAGTTGACTGTGTAACGTCCATTTGATGATGTCATCACATGGCCTAGTTTCAGTAATTGACATCTATAAAGCCCTCGACTGGCAATAACGCCTCCATAGTTTCAGCAGCAGGAATCCTCTGTACCTGTCATACAGAATCGTGAGACTTCAACTCCAAGGAGAGCTCCAATACTTGTCAAAGATGCCACCATCTAGATAAATCATTAAATTGGAGTTGAGGTATAGATCAGCCATGATCTAATAGAATGGCAGAACAAGCTTGGAGGGGCTGAATGGCCAACTCCTGTACCTATGTAAACCAAGGTCTCTTCCGCCTTATCAGGTGGATATTAAAGATCCCATAGCACTATTTGAAAAGAAAAGGGAGTTTCTCCTGGAGTCCTGGCCAACAATCCACCAGAATAACCTATCATTCACCTCATGAATGTTCATTGATGTGTGCAAATTGGTTGCTGCCAAAAAACGCACAGTCACTACATTTGATAGCAATTCCCTGTGAGGCATTTTGACACATTTTGAGTTGATAGGCCCAATCTAATAGTAATAATAATAATCTTTGCATTTGATATAGCGTCTTATCACATCATTGAGATGTCTCAAAGCGCTTCACAGAATATACTGTAAAGTGGAGTGACTGTGTATTTTGTGGTCGAACATTACAGCCAATTTTTCAAGGACCTGTTCTTATTATACTCTGTTATCAAATAGAGATTTGGTGTATTACACTCAATCTCAGTGCTTTTGCTATCAAAGTCCTATCACCCACTGTTAGGTGCACAATATTTTGTGTAATGCACTTGCTAGCTTTACTTATTGTTAGTCTTCTCTTTCCCTAAGGTGTGAGTGTTGCGCCAATGATTGTGCATTACTGAGCAGCTCCTTAGCTGGATTCAGGTGACTGATATTACAGCCTCCATTGCTCCTCCCTGTGTGATCATCAACTGACAGGTGCAATGTCTTTATCTGCACCGATGATCACAGCTACTGGAAGAGCTGTCAGCTCAGAGCGCAACTGCAGGCACCGAGGAATATGTTTTGCTTGTGTTGTTAGCACCTTTCAGCTGCTGCCACAGGGTGCTAGATAGTTGTTGCTTAGCAACTGTAAGTTGAATTTTTTTAATTTAGAAAAAAAAAGGCTTTCAGGAGGAAAATGAGTTCGGAGACAACAGTCAGCCAGAGAGAGTAACACGAGCTTTGCTTTGGGCGAGTATCAAATAATTTCAGTGCATTGATCCCCTCAGTATTTCCCTGTTTTTACTATGTCTAATCCTCCATGGCCCATTGCATTTCTTTCCCAAACCACAGCCTCACTCCGTGATTGTGTGAAGGGTTTCCTACCCTGTTTTCGGGATTTAGTTCCGGATGAGGTTAAAGTTTGCATGAATGATGATTTTAAATAAAATTCTATGAAAAGCTCTTGATTGGCAAGCAGGAAGCAATGAAGCAAAGAGAAGGGAGTTTCTCTTTCCCGGTGTCCTGGCCAACAATCCCCCAAGTGAAATTGGTCATTCACTTCACAGCTGTTTCTGGAACATTGCTGTGCGCAAATTAGCTGCTATATTCTCCTACAAGATAGTCATCATACTTTACAGTGTATACTGCAAACTGCTTTGAGACATTATCTCGACATGAAAGATCCTAAATCTAATGGAAAGATTATTATTAATGTTTCAAATGTTTGAGACTGAGACTGACAAGGTATGGACCATGACTTTTCACATTAGCTTCCAAACTGCCTTGTATATCAAAGATTCTGCAGCGACACAGCTTGGAGTTGATGGATTTAGATAGAAGCTCCTGAATGTTTGAGACAGGGATTTCTGGTATCTTGGGCAGTTTTTTTCCCTTGACCTAATAATTCACCAAAAGAACAAACTAACGTTTTGCCATTTATTTCCTTGTTTGTTTGGATGTTAGCTGCTGTGCTCACAATATACAAGAGGCATTACACTTTAAAGTAACTAATTTGAAGAAACACTCTCAGATGTTTCAATGTGATAAGGCACTGAATCAAATACAAGTATTGCTTCTGTATAATCCTAAAGAACTGCAGTGATTCAAAGGCAGCAAAGCTTCTTTGGAGCACAGTGTCAAAAGCAAGATCAATAAGGGAAGCTGATGCTCTTTGCATCAGAAACAGTTTAGAAACCATGTGTTTTCTCTGGTTAGTCTCCTCTGGAAGAGAAGATATTTTTGATGAATGATTCAGCACCCTATCTTCCCTTTATAACTTGAGTTTACTCACTTTCAGTTGTACATAACTGAGACTCTTTGTAGGCTGTATTCATCTTGCATTTGTCAGATTGAGCCAAATTTTGGCTTTGGGTATAAATTCTTTGCAGATGGAACACTATTGCTCTTCTTGATGGACCAATTTACTGTGAACGCTTCAAGCCAAAGAGCTGAATTTTTCCATATAATATCATTCATTCAAAGTCAGAATGTGCTGCCTGTAGCTTTCTTATCCTTACAGAGTATCCAATTGTTGTGCTGGACTCTATCTTAAGAATATTTATGTAACAATGCCGAGGGGGTAATCAACAGTTCTTCTGTGTCCATAGACCACAGTTTGTAACATTAAACTCGGAGGCTTTGAGCTAAAACTAATGGCAATCTTACTCTAACAAGTTACATAAAGTCAAAAAAGGATAATTTCGAGATTGGAAAATCGTGTGACCTCGGTCTAAAATGTGCTGTCCTTTCCAAAGTGAATGGAAATAGCAAGGGTGACAATCCATTTGAGCCTTGTCCTCTGTTTAAGTTATGAGTGGTTATAGAGCTTGTTGGGTATTCTACAAATGTAATTTTGTTGTTGTTCTCATGACCACAGCTTGAAATTTTCTTTCGGTGATCAAAATCATCCACATGAGTTTTTAACTATACCAAATCCCTTCTCAACACCTACTGAGATAGTAACTTCAGTACCTACTAATTTATTAATATTAAAGAATACTATGATGCTCCGTTGGTAGCACTCTCACCTCTGAGTTGGAAGGTTGTGGGTTCAAATCCTGCGTCGGGACTTTGAACTCACATAGGCTGGACTGATACTCCATTATATTGCTGCATTTTTGGAAAATATCATCCTTTGGGTGAGAAATTAACCTGAGGTTCTGCCTATGTCTGTTCAGATGAAAAGAGAAGGGAGTTTCTCCTGGTTTCCTGGTGTACAATCCCCCAAATAAAAATTGTCATTCACCTCATAGGTGTTTGTGGGACATTACTGTGTGCTAAACTGGCTGTTGTGTTCACCAACAAGAGACACGGACACCAAATATTACAATGTTTACTGTGAAGTACTTTGAGACGCCCTCTCAACGTTAAAGGCGCTATATCAATTGCAAGTATTATATTATAGAGGAACAAATGCTGGCAACGTGGGCAGACCTCTAGGGAGGATTAAATAGGACATGAATCCAGAAAAAGCTATGTGAGGATATTTGGAGGGAGGTGGAAAAGAAGTAGTGTACAGTAAATCTTTGTGAAAAATCAAGCAAGCTCAACAGTGGCTGAATAAGCAGGTCACAGTAGCTTAGAATGCATGTGTATTGCATGCATTAAGCATTTCTGATACAATTTCCTTCAAGAAATAACATGAGCAGTGGTTCTGCAATTGGCTGCCGCATTTCACCGACAAAACATACAGTCAATTCACTTTACAGTATATTCTGTGAAGTGCTTTGAGACGTCTCAAAGACGTGCTTATTATTATTAGGATTATTATTATTATTCCATGCAATGGGCAGCAAGTGATATCAGTGCCGAGCGGATGACTCAGAATTTGACCGATTTTCCTTGCTTCCCTTATAACTCGGCTTCTGGTCTGGGAGAGTGGACATAGATGACCACATTATAATGTGGCTGGGCTGTCTGGATGTTTTCGCAATGTAGATGGAACAACTTGGTTTCCAAGCCATGAGATAAATTTAACAGTAGTCTTTATTTCATGCCTGAAGTATGACGTTAAGTATTGAGTAGGCTTCACTCCTTATAATGTGCGCTGGCCTTTCCTGCAACATTTCATTTGACTTTTTCAGAAACCTCTGGAAAAAGTTGAGAGATTTGCATTTTACGCTCGAGCAAAGGAAGCTTTTGCTGTGGTGGCCACAGGGTGAGTGCGTACCTGCGTCTGAACCCCTAATAGTCTGGAAACGTGACAGCTCTGCATTGTAAAGAGCAAATGCCCAGTTTCAATGTGCCTTGGGACGTCCTCCTGATCTGAAAGGCGATATACAAATGTAATTTGTTGTTGATGATTCTGCATGAAACTTCCAAAGAGATCACAATCCACCCAATAGAACCTAGACAAAAATATTGAGATGACTGAATGTTGCCATCAAGATCAAAGCCCAACTGAGTTCTGATGCGCCTGTAAAAGTAATGAATTCTCTCAACGCCTGTGTGTGAAGTTAGACAGGTGAGCTTTGAGTTAGATTTTGTTAATACGTTGTTTTAAAATGTTTCTCCCCCTCTTTTATCTTGCCATCTCATCTGCCATCTCAGCCCAAACCTTAACCCATCTCCATCCCGTCCTCCACAGCATTTTTCACTTCCCTTTGCCTCCCTGCATTTTAATAAGCAATCCAAGTCACACAAATGGGGACACCTTCCAATAAATAGAAGTACATCACTCTGATACACGTGATTTTCTTCGGGTGTCAGAGGGTCAGTGGGAATTTCAATGGGGTTATAGCCCCCTACTGTACATCCTATTGCAAGGATACTCAAGCAGGGAAGATTGCTAACTGTGTTGACCTGCTGTGGTATAAATCATGGGACTGCCAATATGAAAGTTGTAACTGAGCTGGGTTTTCTTTCAGAGAAACTGCGTTGTATGGAAACCTCATCCTTAAAAAAGGTGTGATTCCCGCTGGAGAAAAGGACAAGTGAAAGAATGAGACAGGGAGGGAGGGAGAGGAAGGGAATGCAGCAGCAATCCAGAATGAAATTCTCAGTGTTCGAAATGTTATCTTAAATCCCATGAAGTCATCGAACCAGCAAAGCTGCAAATTAAATAAAAAAAACCTTCAGCGTCAGTGTGATTGGCGCTTGTGATCAATAAATAGTGTTTGTGGCTGCAGGATGAGGTATAATGAGATAGATGATTTATGCTCTGTGCCTGCGCTGAATATATAACTCACAACCCGGGTATGAATTGTGTCCTCTTTGTTGATCTATTTACACCACACTTTGGGCCAGTGTTTGAAATGAGAGATTAACGTTAACTGCAAACAATATTAAAAAAAGTGAGGCTGATATCCTTCCTTGACATACTGAGGTCAGTCCTCAGTTTTGACGTTAACATATAGCATGGTGAATATATACGATAAAGAGTGTAGAGGAGATTAAGTGAACTGCTTCGTTAAGGTCATTCAGGTTATCATGGGTGTTTGCTAGCTGGATGAATTCTGTTGTGTGCTGATAATGGGAGCATCAAATGATAACCCCTGATATCAACATCACTTACTATTTGAAAGATTATTAAAACAGATTGCCACGATATTGTTTGAATGCTGTGGGTTAATCCGTGCACTGAAAATGGAAAGTTTAAACACAGTGGGGTTTTGCAATGTCGGCTGAGATTTAAGCAAATAGTAAAGTTGCTTTGTGCATGATGCGTCAATGATTGTGTAATCCAATAGCTATGTGTGTTTGGTGGCGATTTGTAACTTCCGACCTGATGTGGAAATAAAGTGCTGCGGTTGAAATTGAGTTTGCATCCTTTGTAATGACTGGAGACATCAAAGATTGGATTTCCTATTAAAAGGGCACCAACATCTTCATGAGAAAAAAAAGCATTTGGCAAATTAGAAACACACGTCACACTAACGCATACCATGTTGAAATATCATTCTGCTGCTCATAAGTGGGCCTTGTTGGATAAAAGCAGCCCTTGGATCTTTTATCCGATGAGAAAGGCCACAAAGACCCACAGCGATGTTGAATGCACGATATTCACAAACGGATGCAACTTCGGATGCGAACATTGGTTTGGAAGAATCGCGGCGAGGTAGGTTTTAATCACTGATCTTTTTGCTAAACTTTGCCATTTTTGAATTTGCAATTCGATGTTTTCAAATCTCACAATCTGTTATTCGCAAATCAAATGACACAGTTAGTGATTCGAATATGACTTGTGCTTATTGCTTTTTCATTCCCAGCATCCCTTAAAGTGAAGGTGATAGACAATCTCTCTGCCAGTTACACAAACCAAGGAGTGCAATGGCAGAGATGTGTTTGGTGGACCAGTTTGTCTTATGAACGTGAATCTCCTGAGGGCACAGGTTCAGGGTTGCGAAAGGCAAGTTTAGGATAATGACCAAAAACTTTTTTTTTGCACAGAAGATATGTCGGAAGTGCTGTCCTTCGAATGAAATGCTAAACCGAGATTCTATTTGTTCTGGTGTATCATAACGATCCCATCGCACTGTTCAAAAAGAGACTCTCCCTGTGTCCCCAGGACTGTTGATTAATTGATTGTTCACCTCTTGGCTTTTTTTAGGGCTGTTTGTAAGGATTAATAACTGAGGTGTGGGCAGTACGATTCCGCACACAAGATGCAGCTTTCTCTTAAAAAAAATTTGGCCAAGCCTTGATGCTGGATGTTAGATGTCTGCTCAATCTGGCCTTAATAATTTCACTTTAAGAACAATTACATAGAACGTTACAGAATTGAACAGAAACAGTACACTGTACCCTGCTTGATTTCATTCTGCATTTCCTTTCTGACTAATGTGACAGACTTATTGATGTGCCGTGTGGATAGGATTTCCAAAAAAAGTATCCCGATTGACCACAAATCCTTGGTTTTATTTGAATCAGTAAAGAATTATCCACAGGGTTTACATCACCACAGAAGCTACAAGTATCGAGGCCAGATGGGTTAATGTGGAAATGAGACAAAATCTGTAGCAGGTCTGTGGAACAATGTTTCTTTTTGAAACAAAATAAAGCAAGATGGATATTGTAACATATGAAAGTTTTGCTGAAAGGCTTAATTTGTCCATGGGTTGTAGGAACTTGCTTGGGAAATCCACACATTTCCCAATGGCATGCTTGTGTGCAGGTGTTAGCTTGGCTCAGTTGTGAACACGCACACCTCTGGATCAGAAGGATGTGGGCTCAAGCCCCGTGTTACAACTTGAGCTCATGTTCCCTTATATTTAGGAACTCTTTAATACCCATGAGTAATTCACAGTGTGACATATTGGTAGGAAAGCCAAATATAGTTTGAACACCAAAATAACCATTGCACAATAACCATTGAGCAATAAGTGCTGGGAGTATGCACCAGTTACCAAAAACTATTTCAACTGAGCTTCAAAGTATAAATTAGATTGATCAACCTTTAAACAACTTTGATTGTATACTTTTGTCATTTATTGCCATAGCTTTCACCAGTGGCTGGTAATGCCCTGGGAACAATAGAGTTTATATATAATAATAATTATCCTTGCATTCGGTGTAGCACCGTAACAGGTTGGAAGGACATTTCAAAGCATTTCACATGATTTACTACAAAGTGAAGTGACTTGTGTTTATTTAGATACCTTGTGGTAAAATTTGCATTTAATTTGTATGCCATTTCCTATGTGAAATAGACCAAGATTTACAGAAAGATTTTGTGCACCAAATAAATTTGTTGGATTGCATCCTCGGCCCATGATAAAATAAATCTTCAAAATAAATTAAGTTGCAATCAAATTAACAAACTAAATCAATGAAGCAATCTCCCGCTCCCATAACATGAGGCAGAGTTCAGAAACCATGATGAATCATATCTCTGTCTTCTTCTGGCTCATTCATTGGATTATACGGGAGCACCAACTTCTCTCGACGAAATGTCTGTCGAGGAATATCAAAATTTCCGTGGTGGATCATATCTCGATCTTCCTCTGGCTCATTCAACGGCTCATTGACTTGAGGTGCCTTGTTTACCTGGAACGGGCAGAAAAACAGAGTTGGAAAAGAGGACGGGATGAAATGGAAAAGATTGGAGAGGTTGGGCAAGTTTGTAATAATAATACTCCTTGTATTTGGTATAGCATCTTTCATGTCAGAAGGACATGCCAAAGGGCTTCACAGGATATAGTGTAGAGTGGAGTGATGTGTTTTGTGGGCGAATGCAGAGGCCACTTTACACACAGCAATGTCCCACAAACAGCCATGGAGTGATTCTTCCAACCATGAACGAATTTGAAGACCACAATAAAGATATTAAACTCCAACTCAACGAAGATGAACATCTGGCTCTATTTCATATGGTCTAAAAGTAATAGTGGTTCAAGCTCTACTTAAGATGCTAGAGTTACCGCTGGAGCATATCAGTTGTTGTATTCTCCAATGCATATATTTAAATGTTATATAATGGATCATATGGTTCAGAGAGTACTGTCTGTCCATTGTCTGAGCTTCTCCTTTGGATTCGAATTCCCTCCCGGGCATCCTATTATTCTCTTTAGTCTATAACAGAGTTTCTCTGAAAGAAGTACCAAAAAGCCCAACTCACCTCAGGCTCTGCCGCCTTGGCAATAATTGTTTGCAGAAGGAGCGCTGATCCGACCACGAGAAGCACAATACTGAAAGGGAACAGTTTTTTCAGCTTATGCAAGAAAATTATCTTATATACGTATTTGTTATATTTTATGATAATAATCCTTGAACTTGATTTAAACACCTTATCATGTCAATGAGGTGTCTCAAAGAACTTTACAGGATTTACTGAAAAATGGATTTTGTAGGAGAATAAGGCAGCCAATTTGTGCACGGCAATGTCCCACAAATACCCATGAAGTGAATGACAAATTAATTGTATTTAGGTGATTGTTGGAGAAACTCCCTTCTCTTTTGGTGTAGTGCCATGGAATGTTTAACATCTAGCTGAACAGGCAGTAGGGACTTCANTTTTTTAAAAGTCTCATCCGAAGGATAGCATGTCCAGCAATACAGCACACCTCCAGCATAAGCTTTGGAGTATCAGCCTGGACTAAATGAGCTCAATGTGCCAATGTGAGGGTTGAACCCTTAATCTTCTGACTTGGAGGTGAAATGGTATCAATGAACCAGGTACACACTATGTCTGTAAGGCCCCCTGATTTCCTGGCCACGATTTAATCATTGCTTACGCTCACTTCACTTACCTTCAGACATAAACAGAGTCTCCCAGAGCAATCAGTTTAAGTGAAACAACAACAACTTGCATTCATATAGCGGTCTTCACGCGGGAATATGGCAACCCAGTAGCAACCCGGAGCGCTTCATACTGAACACATACTGATAAACAGCAGTGCAATTTCCCAATGTAGATGTCCTACACTCTTGAGTTTGTATATTCTTAAGGTTCCTTGTACTGCATGACATCTAGTCACAAGCTTAATCCTACCTTATCACAACAGCTCAGCTGAAAAAAGACAAAGTTCCTTCACTGTATCTAATTCTCCTGGCCTACATTGAGACAACGCCCTGAAATATTTATTCTTCTGCTGGAACAGATTGAACATTTACCAGGGTAATATAATTGCAAAACCTGCTTGGTGTCACAGCATTTGTTATGTGAATGTGCCTCTGTCAATGTTAGATTTAAATAAACCTTATAATGAGAGACCAGTTACCCAGCCATCACTTAAAAAGTACAATATGATGGGATCATTAGGAATATTGCTGCCACTTTAATATGCGGTCTGTGTTCCAGGGTCCTGGCATGAAATATATTAGTGCAGGATTTTGGAAAGGAATGAGCCATAATCTGTCTGCGGACCGCAATGTGGTGTTATTCAGCCATAATTAAATTTCAGCCATCCTTTAGATGAGATGATAAACTGACCTGCACACTCTACAGATAGATAGATCCCATGGCACTATTTAAAAAGAGAAGGGAATTTCTCCTGGTGTCCTGGCCAACTATCAATGCATTAATTGACTATTCACAAAATCAGATAATAATAATAATCCACGTATTTGATATAGCGCCTTACCACATCATTGAGACATCTCAAAGCACACAGCAATGTCCCACAGACAGTCATGAAGTGAATGACTTAATTTATAGTCTCAGTGTCCTCGCCTCAGCCCACCCGTCATTCACCTCATCGCTCTCTGTCGGACTTTGCTGTGTATTACGATGACTGCAGTTTTTGCCTGCAACAAAGAAAAACCACAGTACAGGCAATAGAAACGTAAGACCATAAGTAAACAGGAACAGGAGGAGAAGGTCATTCAGCCCATTGAGCTTGTTCCAACAGTAATTACTGTGAAGCGGTTTTAGATGTTCAGACGTTTATAGGGGCTATAAAAATGCAAGTTCATTCATAATGATTATTATCAGTTGCCAGTTGAATGGTGGAAGGGTCTAGATTTGTTCAAGAAACTGACTGTGGCTTGCAAGCCAGGAATTACGTGCTCATTGTAGGCACACAGTGTGCCTTGGAATACCAAAGCCTTCTCATTGATTTACATGTTCTTGTATGTGCAACTGACGACTGGCAATTAATCAGTGATTAACATTGCTTAACCATTCGATAATGAATCTCCCTGCGTGACAAAACATTCTTTTAAATTTAGGAGAATTAGGAAAATTTTCTTTAAATATAAATGTGTGAACCCATTTTTTGAATTATTTACAGAGTGATTCAGGTTCATTTCCTACACACCAGCTCTGATAACTCCAATTTATTCTGAACACACCGGTCTGAACTGTAGTCACGGTACATAAAATCGTTCACTTGATGTGAGCAGTTTTGATTGACCAATGCCACTTTTATACTGCATCAAAGCATGAGGTGTGATTCTGATGTGAGTGTGTGGGGGCGGGGGGTTCCAGCTTGCTCACACTTAGTGGGGTCAAAGCTATACACACACACATATATACGCACACACACAAATACTCATCACCACTGGAAAGGCAGACCAGTCACTGGGGGCTAATTTTGGCCTGCATGCCAAAGTTGCAATGGGTAGGGTGGTCCTAGCTGGACAAGCAGCGGGAAAGCTTGTGGGACAGCAATATCAATGACAAGCTAAATATCAATGCAGTTTTAACTGGTTAGACTAAAGCAGTACTCCAATGCGTACTCTGGGGTCCCTAAGCCTTGGCTCTTGCCAACCTGCACCTAATACTTTCCAGAATTAAGTAAGCAGGATGCATCCCTCCAGGTAGAGAGTGCATGTTCCAATCCAACAATTTATCTCTGGGATTTCCATGTGTAGGTGGGATGATCTCTTAAGCACAGTGATGTGTTTCTACATGTGTCAGACACCCAGCTGACCAAAAAAGAACTGTTCCCTCTAGCATTTTGTCAACCCGGGATGCCAATTCCTCAACCCATGCACATGGGGTGGGGGGGGGGGGGGGGGTGGGGGGGGGGTACAACATACTATTTGATTTTCTGGGTCCGGTTGGAACAGAAATCTTTCTATGAACCAAATAACATATCTTGTTCTGATCTCCAGCTGAGAGCTGGGAGAACAAGCTGATACTTTAGTTGTAACTAAATGCACCGAAAAAAATCTGTCAGACAGGTAGTAGAGGTGTACATTGTAGACAGTGAGGAATTAGATATGAATACATTGGCGATAGGGCGTTGGAAGTTGAAGTAAAGAGAGCGTTAGCACCTTGGGACGTCCTCCCGGTGTGAAAGGCACTATACAAATGTAATTTTGTTGTTGTTGTTGTTGATAGTATTTTAGGAAATGGGCCAAAAGAGAGGTGGTAAAGAGTTTCCTGGTCTTGTCAATGACAGAAGGGAACCCTGCTAACTCACTGTCTGGTCAATTTATGCTTTTAACATGAATGTTTCACTGATACATTTACTGTTCATGTCAGTCTCTTGTCTCCAACGTGTATTTTGTGTGCCCCGGAATTGGGCTTTGCCATGAAATCCTTCACAAGATGACATTAGCAATCACTGCAACAACAAGGAGCAACCTTTACACTGCTTTTGTTGCCCTGTGATTCACCCTGAATACCCGTCTCAGATAAACAATGTGAAAGGGGAGAGAAGCACCTGCTCCTTCACATCACCATCAATTGAGGCAAATATCCAATTTACATAGATTTACATAGAGTTCTATGGTACAGAACTGTGCACAGCCCCTCCTGTTCTCCTCACTTATGCCCCTCTATTCTCTTCTCCCTCACGTATGCACTACGTCTTCCGTTAAATATAATGATGCTATTTATTTCAACTGCACTGTGCGGGCCCAACACACAGAAGTGCTAATCAGTGGGTAATAACGGAAAGCCCATGTCACAGTGGGTTTCTGAGGGTGAACAGTTATGCAGATGGTTAAGGCAGGGGGAGGCAGTTTTACTTTGCACTGAGATCTGCCTGGGAGTGCTTGTTCCTGATGCAAAGTATATAAAAACATGCTTTTCTCCATATCACTGTAGGGAGTTACAGCACAGAAGGCAGTTCGGCTCACTGTCTGTGCTGGTTCATTGAAAGAGCAATTCATTCAGTCTTGTTTCCCTGCTTTTTGCGCTTCCACCTGAAATTTACTCCTTTTCCAATATCTAACCAGTTCCCTCTTGAATGCTAATCTGGATCCTGCCTCAACCACCACAGCTGGCAGGGCATCTGCTTCTTAACAATTCTCTGTGTAAAAAGATAATCCTCCTAATCTTTCCCTTTGGTACGACCTAGCTAATTATCTTAAATTGATGCCCTCTAGTTATTGACTCACCATCTAGTGGAAATAATTTCTCCCTATTGACTATCAAAAAACCCTTAATAATTTTGAAGACGTCCATCAGGTCTCCTCTCAACCTTCTTTGTTTCAGTGAAAAGACTCAGTTCCTCCAGTCTGCTCATAGGTCAAACCACTTTTCCCTGGCAACTTCAACACGGAGATCCTCACCTTATTGTGCATAGATATTCAATCAAAATAGAGTGAAAAGACAAGCAAGGCTGAAGTGGAGATCGTCTAGATTGGGTCGAAACTAATTATAACTATGTTTGAAATAACTCAAAGTAAGCCAGTTCGGTATATTCTGCTTCAGGCTCAAGCTTCTTTCTGACATATTATCTCAGAAGGCATTATTTTAACACTCGGTCTGCCTCATACCTGATCTGTCCCTGTTGTGCTAAATCACACATTAAATTCTACAGGTTGAATTTTGCCTGAAGGAGCCATCGAGTGATATTAAAACCAAAGACTGGGTACAGTTCAACCAGCAACAAGGCATTTTAATCCTTCGCTGCTGAGATTCAGTTTGGCATTTTGCATACAACGTGCCTTTGAATGCAGGAACTAAGCTTTTATTTCAAACATTCAGCTCATTTGTGAAGTGCTACAATTGGTGAATGCAATGAAATGGTACTCAAACACACAGTGGAACAAGAGGACATAAACTTAGTGTTGTAAAGAGCAATTAAAAAAAACAGACGCTAGGAAATATTTCTTTGCCCAGAGGATAATTAATGACTGAAAATGGGTGGTTGAGGCCAGGACACTGGACTTGTTTTAGAAAAAACAGCTTGATGCTGTGATGGGAATTGCTTTGTTGACTGAATATCCAGAGCCACAATTCCTCCGATATTCAGTACAGACATTCGATGCTTGTTTCCCTCCCATGTATTAGACAATTGTAAATGAAACAAGCAGAATACACATTACCTGGAGTCATGTACAGCTTAGGTTTATGTCTTTTGTCAGGGTGCTACTGACAAAGTGTTAGCCACTGTATACAGATGAGGCACATACACAGGTCTAACACCATTCCTGTCAAAAGCATCATTGAGTCTCTTTATATCACCAGTCACATAGGCATAGAGGCACAAAAAATGTTTTGTTTCTTTTACAAAACATAAAGCACATCCAAGCATCAGAGTTTTACAGTGTTTATTGTCAACTGTAGTGACTGTTCATGCAACGTACGTGGAACCAATCTTGCCCCACTTAGGTTTCACTAACAACCATGAGGTTAATGACAGAAATTTAATCTGGAGGATCATTAGCCAGGACACTGGCAGAAACTTCCTTCTCTTTTGGAACCATGCCATGGGATCTTAAATGTGACTTGGGAGACGCGTCCTCATTTTTTGAGGACACAGTTGGGCTGCAGCTTTGCCTTACAAATAATGCTATAACTTAGAGAAGGGAGTTAGAGAACTCCCTTGCAAGCGAGAGGACCTGGGTTCGATTTCCAGTGGGGTGAAACCTTAGGCAAGTTTCCTTACTCCACACACCTCTATTTACCAAGTAGGAACCCGGTTGTTACCTATGCCCAAAGGATTGGCAGATTGCATTCTGGGGTAATAGTCCCTTGAATAAAAATGCCATCACTCAATCCACGATTGTTTGTGGGACACTTCTGTGTGCAATTAGCTGCTGCATTTTGCCCACAAAATGCACAGTCTGTAATTTGTGTACACAGTTTACAGTATATCCTGTGAAGCGCTTTGAGACATCTTAACAATGTGGTAAGGCTCTATATCAATGCAAGAATTATTAGTATTATTGTTATTAATTTGGGTCACTGACGACTGACTGTGGGCCAGCATTATTCAAAAAATGATAGAGCGGTTTCCTCCTTACCTCTTCATTGTCGACTCTTTCTGGCAGCGCTGTGAGCTTCAAGCATTGAGTGTAGCTCTATAGAACCAAGGAGACGTTTGGAAGATTTTTATGGCAATTGACCCTTGTAACAGGGACTGAAGTTCAGCGTCGCTGGAGTTCTTGACACAGCGGGACAAACAGCACGGATCTGGCCTGTTGCCATTGATCATCTTATCATGTTCATCAGCTTGTTCATTAAAGCAAAAAAATGTTCCTGAGAACCTGAAGAGGACAAGAAACAGCACAGTAACAAATTGGGACAGTTAATAAAGTCAATACTGTGGGAGAAGGGAAGCTGGAATTCATTTCTTTATTTAGTGTTGAGCACTTAAAGTATTGTAAAGCAGATCGATATGTCAGTGTGAAGGCTTGCAATGGAGCCTTTAATTACACAGAACCTTTTCATTGGCTTTAGTCCTCGTTTTTCACCACAAGTGTTTTTGTCTCTCTCAATGCCTGACCAAAGCCAATTGTGTGGCTCTCACTGTTATTTCGGGCTCTGCTGTTCTGTGAGTACCATCGGTTCGGCTAAACCCCACACAGTGGATCGTGCACAAGGCTGTGAACGGGCTTTGAAAAGAACCTTCATGAATCACAGCTGCCACAGTGCTGTAGAACCTTAGGCAAGTGTCAGGTTAAAGTGACAGAGTCAGTAAGGCTCTGACCAGCAACTTTCCCCTCCACTCCTCCTGTCCTCAAACCTTGCTATTGGTGTATGGTTTCATACCTACCCCTACAGGACCATTGGTTATATGAAAGCCTCAATCTAAGATGGCATTGCAGTTAGTAATGGGATGCACTGGGCTGTCGAAGGCGTCATTTCTATCACAATAATAATAATCCTTATATTTAATACAGCGCCTTATCACATTGCAGCGACATATCAAAGTGCTTTCCTGCGTATTTGTAGACAAATGCAGCAGGCAATTTGGGCCCAGCAGGTCCCACAGTTATTTTGTAATCACAAAATTCTGGACCTGTCTACATGTTAAAGACCCATGGCATCATTTGAAAAGAGAAGGCAGTTTCTCTCACCATCCTGTCTGACAATCCTCCAGATTAATCAGTCATTCACTTCATGCCTATTTTCGCTGCAAATGGCTGTCATGTTTGCCTGCAAATACAGTCACTGCACTTGACTGTAGATACTTGGATGTGATAAGGCTCTAGAAAGTGTTGTGCTTCTTTCTAAGAGAAGGTTATCTGGAAAAAAATGGGTTTGGTGAAGCAGAAATATTGTGAAAGTGTTTGTATGTCGGGGATTGGGGGAGGAAGCCAGACTCCTGTGTCATGTTTGAGCTAACTGGAATCTCATTTTTATTAGGGAGTGCTAACAGCAAGAATCTATAGTTCAGTACGTCTGTGGACTTTGAGACAAGTTACTTGATAGAGGCTATTTAAAGAAACAAATAAAGTTTCCCAAGAGACAGAGAGGGAGGGTGTCAACACAACAGGTCTGCGAAGGAGTAAGTACGTCTGAGCGAATGCATTGTATATCTAACGTATTAACCAGAAGTAGAAAGCTGATTGATGTCTTTATCTGGAGATCAAAGGTTAATATAGATTCTCCAAAACAGCTGCTGGCTGCTGTCGTTTAGCAGGACACAGTCACTGTGTGGTGTGCATGAAGTTCTATTCTTTGCTAAAACCTTTATATTCCAGTGGCGTCTCAGCTGATCCAGCTGGGGAGGAAGTGCTTCATGGAGACTCTAGGCAGAGGAGACCCATATTCACTCCTCGAATAGAATCAAATGAAGAAAATTCAAAGCTTGCTCTGTGGTCCAACTTGGCCTGTGGTCTGCCCAGCTTTAGCCTAAGCGTTCCTCATGCAAAGGGAAATGTATATATGACGGTTTGGCCTTTATCGGTGTGGGCTTTGTGTGACTGCAATCCTTTTCAGATGTTCAAATACTGATGCAGGTGGAGTGGGTGTTCTGGGAGGCTGAGATCAAATGGATCGAAAAAGCTTTTTTCATCCATCCCTTTCTTGTGGTCTTGTGATCTGGGGACCACGTGCATTCTTTGAAGTCCGAGTTACCTTACCCTCCCTTTGAGGCTGAGCAGACCCATCCTTTGCTGTTTAGCATTACACCTCATTCAGCTCGCTTGAGTTAACAGTAAAATTCCCAGAGACTAACGTGTTACATTAAAAAGTGCAGAACAACCCCCTGGACTGAGCATAGTGTTTAGCTCATGTGGCTCTGATTTGATTACGCAGAAGGGAATTAACAGTTGGAATAGGTTACCGGAAGAGTAGGGGCCAGGACTCATTAGATACCGTTCCTTGCTGTTCAATGACTTGTACTTGTATAGCACCCTTCTTATAGTAGCAATTGTAATAATAACCCTCGCATTGGATATAGCTCCTTATCACATCGTCAAAATGTCTCAATATGCTTCGCAGGATGTCAACTTAAAGTGTAATGACTGTGTATTTGTAGGTGGATGTGGCAGCCAATTTGCTCAAAGCTATGTCCGACAAACAGCTATGAAGTGAGTGACCAATTTTATCCGGAGGATTATTGGCCAGAAAACCAGGAGAAACTTCCTTGTCTCTTCGAATAGCGCCATGAGATTTTTACCATTTAATATCTACCTGAACAGGCCCTCAGTTTAATGAGGACAGCACCTTTGACAATGCCAGCTCCCCCAGCACTGCATTGAATCAGTGATTGGTTGAGAGAGGGATAATGATGCGCAAATAAATAACGTGTATTTAACATAGCGGCTTATCACATAAAACGTGGAAGCATCCAAGAACCCTGAATTGTTACTGAGCTTATATTAGTCCTTTGGGTCCTTGAATCATTGCAGGGTTTATTGTTGGTGATTTTCCACTTGGGTGATGATACTTAGCATCTGTTAATAGGCAACAAAAGCAGCAGTACAGCAGTGATGATGTTCAGAGTACTTTAACTGCACAAAATTCAATTTTCGGTTCAGTGCTAATAGTGTGAAAAAAAGCAAGCTACAGACAGGATGATTCACACCTCATATATTTTAATACATTGCCAGGGCACTTGTTTCAGTGTCTAGCTGCACGATAGTTTGGCACTCTGTATATTCCAAGTATATTAATCCATTTTGATCAGTGTTAACAAGCTGCCTTCCCTCCAACTATCAGCAACAGGAACAAACTCCCACTTGGCATTTCCTTCCTGAGTTGCTGCTTTCACAATCTAAGATTCCATTTGGTGCCAGAGAGCCACTGAGCCAGACCAACATGGAGAGAAATGATTAAATCACACTGTTTTCAAAGGATTAGCTGAGGGCTCATCCTGGGATTTGCATTCCTGCACCTGAACAAACTGTACAAATAACAAAGCTGTGAATGAAAAATGATTTTATCATACTTTGGGACAGGCAATGCAGGGAGCTCACTAAATGATGAGGTTGCCGTAAAGGATCTTACAACAGCAGCAGCAACAACAACTTGCAATTATATATATATGTATATAGTGCTCTTCATGCGACAGTCATTAACAGTGGCAGAGCTTGATGCTAAACCAGGGCGAGAGGGCAGGTGACCGGAGGCAGGGTCAAAGAGCAAGGTCTTCAGTTGCTATCTGAAGACAGGCAAGGAGGGGTAAGGTGGAGGGATTGTGGCAGAGAGTTCCAGAGTTTCAGGTGCATAGCTGCTGAAAGCATGACCACCAATGGTGGAGTGAAGTGGAGGGGACAAGGGACATGTAGAAGGTCAGAGCCGGGTAACCGAAGGATGCAGATGTGGAGTGGGGTGTAAGCAGGGAGGAGAGGCAGGGAGGTGCTACATGTGAATTGAGTCGTAACGGTGAGGATCTTAAAATCGATCCGTTCTGCAATAGGGAGCCAGTAGAGCCTGACAAGGACTAACGTGATGGGAGTACAGAGTCCAGTATGGGAGAATAGGGGCGTTGGAGTTTTGAATCTCAGACCTGAGACCTGTAGTGTACCTAATGAAGAAGTAGAAAATTAGCAGAGCAAATTGGTGAAGGAAAAAAATGAAAGGTCCACCATCGTTTGTCCAAAAACTACACAGTCACTCCATTTTACAGTAATGAAACACTTTGAGATGTCCTTCCGATGTTAAAGGCACTTTACCAAATGTAAGCTTATTATTTAGACGTTATATGATTTATATTATACCATTAACTTTTTTAATGGAATTGAGTGCTTTATCTTCCCATTATTGATTTTCATTTAAGAAGCAGCTTGATGCTGTGATAAGGGGAGAGTGGGTGGTAGGGTGGATGTTCTGGAAGGATGAGATCAGATTGGCCGAAGTGCTTTCTTCATCAAAACCAATCTTGTAATCTTGTAAACCTTGCCTTAAGGCAGGAGGTTTTGGCTGAATTTTGCACCAGTGGGCAAAGATATCCTTTCACATGTTGTGATCCTCATGTTAATAGCCAGCAAACCCACAAAATAGAGGATTGCTAAAACATTATGTTGTTCCCACCATGAGCTTGTCTTGTCTGGTGATCTCCTCGGAATACTGACTTAGATCCGCACTCCTACTTTGTGGGTTTTATTAGATAGACATCGAATAGACTTGTTTTACGAACACAATCTCCCACAGTTAGATTTCTGCATATGTTATACTGTGGTTCGTAGGCTCTTTACTTACATTAATAACATAAACGCAGTCCATCCACTCTTTCCCCCAAAAAGTTTACTCCACAGCAGTAGCTGTATTCATAGAATCACAGAATTATACAGATCAGAAGGAGGCCATTTGGCCCATCCTGTCAGTGCCGGCTCTTTGAAAAGAGCTATCCAAATCAATCTCACTCACCCACTCGCTCCATTGCCTTGCAAAATAGATTCATAGAATTATACAGAACAGAAGGTATTGCACTCAGTGCATAGCTGCTCCTCGGTGGGAGTGAGGGGAAGAGTGTCAGTTTACATCAGTTGAACACAACAATCCTATCATATCAATATGTACTTGCCAGAGTGACTGGTCTAATAGCTCTGGAAAGCGTGTTGCATTCCACAGTCTTTCTCTTTACGTTTTCCTGCTTGCTTACCCGTCCCCTTGTGGCTTTTAACAGAGCACAAATTGACTTGTGTAATGATTCACATCAGACATATTTTATTTTGATCCCTCCTTGGAATGGCTGGCTCTTTGCAGGTTGGTTCAAATTGAGTCATTTTATTAAAAAAATGGCTTTCATCCTCTGGCACTAAAACTCTATAGAGCAAACTGTGTTAACGGCTGTTCAATGCCAAAACAGCAAGCTTGCAAAACCTGAGCTGCAAGTACCAAGGATTGACAACGAAAGAGCCAATACAATTTTGGCTAAGATGAAGTGTTTAGGATTCAGAGAATCTAGATCTTGTTATACGAATAACCAGTTGTTGTACATGTGGCATTATCAGAAGGTAAAATAATTCATTGTCAATTAAAGCTACCATCATGCTCTAGAAATGTACAATCTAGCTAAGCAAGCTTCTGTTTTATAGAATGATTATGCTAAATTATGTTTTGGCAGACATTTTTTTTCTCCCGGCCATGTGGATCAAGTGTTAAAAGAAAGACTTTTGCCCTTTAGTCATCCAGTGCCAGCACTGTACACTCCTGGATCAGGTGTAGCGTGGGTCAGACAATGATCTGCACCACTCGACAATGGAACTAAAAGTGCTGTGGTCTTTCTCCTCAGCTTTCTTATCGCCTCGAACCTGGTCAGAAACATTGCAGTTTTCTTGGCACCAGCCCTGAACCGCACACTTCAGGATNAAAAAACAACCACAATTTCATCACTGTGACATTCGATTTTCCACACCAAGTATCCATCTGGCCTCTCTGTGTGGGATTGCCAAATTAATAATAATTCATGCCAAATTATGGCCAGTTCTGTGCTGTGGGCTCAATCACACTCAGAGTTGGATTGAGAACCCTGGATCGTATTTCTTGTTGGACCCTTGAAATAAACAGCGAAAGAAACTTTCATCCATCATCACAAGCTGATACTAAAGCTTGTCCTAGAGGTGAAAGAACACGTACGTAACTGAGATATCTATAGATATATGGGTTAAATATTCAAAAAGTAGGAATTTGCAAGGGTATTGGGAAAAGGAAGGTAAATGGGACTGAATGCATTGCTCTTTGAAGGACACAGAAAGATATCATGGGTTGAATGACCTTCCTTTGTAATGTAAAGTTCCATCCTAGTTACTCCTTAAACTTCCTAGCTTCGAAAATGTGGTACAATGGTACTTTTCTATCTTAATAAGGAATCCAGTTTATACCATTGGGAATACCTATTGGTACCCATAGGTAAGTCATGTTAGTTCCCAGGAATTCCATCACAACATAGACTGTATCCAGGTTAGAGTTCTCTCAGGTCAATTCTACTGAATTCCTCATTAAAAAAAATACAAATAGTGCATTTTAAACCCAGTTGTAAATTGTGGAGATTAAAATGCATTTGATCCAATTCGACTTCCTCTTCCTGGGAACTACAGGATACATAATGAGGATAATATTAGGAGCAGAGGAATAGGATTAGAGTAGTTAATTGCAGTGAGGAGGACCTGCATCAGTACAGACACAATGGACCCAATAGCCTCCATGCGTGCTGCAAAATTTCTTGAATTGGTATGTGGAGTCGCAGAGTATCATTAAGAACACTTGCCTTGCAAGCGAGAGGATCTGGATTCATTTCCCAGGCAGGGCAAAACCTTAAGCAAGTTTCCTTCCTCCACATACCTCTGTTTACCTAGCAGTAAGTAGGAAACCGTTTGTTAATCGATTGGCGGATTGCTCTCCGAAAGTAATAATCCTTTCNAAAAAAATTAATTTGGTCAATTAATCCATGACTGTTTGTGGGATACTCCTGCGTGCAATTGGCTGCCATGTTTTGCCCACAAAATATACAGTCTTCATAGTATATTCTGTGAAGCGTTTTGAGATGTTTCAACCACATGGTAAGGTGCTATATCAAATGCAAAAAATATTATTTTGTTATTTTTATGAAGTAGGAGTATGCAGAGGCTTTGAAACAATAACTGGTTTGAGATTGCAGATCAACAACAACAACAGCTTGCATTTTTATAGCACCATTCATATAGGATAACGTTTTGCATTAACCCTAAGGGATCATCCACAGACCTATAAGTGTCTGTCCCCTCCAATAAAAATACAATTTGTCACTAGCCGCTTCCTTAACTATCCGTGGAATCTTTTTTGTTTTCTGATCCCAATGGCTATCCATCGTTGTTTAGCAATACATTTATAACAACGAATGTATTCACTCTGCCCTTTGTAATTCCATGTTATAGTAATAAATAAATAATAAGCCTTGCATTTGATATAGCGCCTTATTGTTATCTCAAAGCGCTTCACACAGTATATAGTGTAATGCGAATTGACTGTATATTTTGTGGGCCAAATGGAATGTAAATTGCAAAAACACGTTAATCTTAGATCAAGCTTTCACCTCAATGCTGCCTGCATGCTAACTGAGTCGCGGTCCGGCGTGGAGAGCGCTATATAAATCCAAATTGTTCTTGTTCTTGTTCAGTGTCCTCCTTCACTGATAACGATCATTCTCACGCCTTGATTTGTCCTGGATGTAAAGGTCAAATTTGGGTGCAAGAATCTTGCCCCCTCCCTCCCTCTCTCTCTTTCTCTCTCTCTCTCTCTCTCTCTTTCTTTCTCTCTTTGCGATAAAGAGGCAGAACTGCTTTCCAAACTAACAGGTAACTTAAAACACAGGATTTCACAGGAAAACAGCTGAGCCAGAAAACACTGACAGACATCTCCTTGGCAACCAGACTCAACCAGCTCCCTCTCTCTCTCTCCTCTCTCACTCTCTCTTTCATTCTCTCTCTCTCTCTCTCTCACACACACACACACGGTTTCTCTCATCCTCTCTCTCTCTCTCTCTCTGCTTTCAGATCAGCAATTCCTCAGACCTTTTCCCCACAACAAGCACACGACTCAGCTCCCGGGCAGTGAGTAAGTAAGTAGTCCTTTTGCTACGTGCAACGAAGTGCATCCATCTCCTGCAAAGTAGCATCAAATCTGGTGTGTGTGTGAGTGTGAGTGAGTGTGTGTGAGTGAGTGTGTGTTGTCAATTTCACATACATCATTGTGCAGCGATTCTGATCCCGACAAAGGTAGTCGGATGGCGGTGGCGAGAATGCGATATGCAATAGGTTGCGTTGGATTAACTTTCATGCGGTGGATTCTTTGGGGTCGAAAGCCGTGGCTCTCGGTTTGATATGATTGCTGTTGAGTGCATCGGGGGGTCACCGGCGAAGGACCGCGTTGAAGCTTCACCTGTCAGTCGGGCTGTCCGGGTGCACGTCCAGTGCTGAAGATGAACTGCGCGGAGGGGGAGTGTTTTTCGATGTTATTTATCGGCTTTAAATTTTGCCAAAAGGTTTCAGGTTATCGAACCTGTATCGGATCATTCAGATAACAGTCCCCTCATCCCCATCCCATCCCCAACCCCATCCCCATCCCCATCCCCATCCACATCCCCATCCCCAACCCCAACCCCAACCCCATCCCCATCCACATCCCCATCCACATCCCCAACTCCATCCCCATCCCCAACCCCATCCCCATCCCCATCCCCAACCCCAACCCCATCCCCATCCCCAACCCCATCCCCAACCCCATCCCCATCCCCATCCCCAACCCCATCCCCATCCCCAACCCCATCCCCATCCCCAACCCCATCCCCATCCCCATCCCCAACCCCATCCCCTCCCCCATCCCCAACCCCAACCCCTCCCCACACACACACACCACCAGTATCGATACAGATCAAATCCCACCGTATCTGCCTCACTCACTCACTCACTCACTCACTCACTCACTCACTCACTCACTCACTCACTCACTCACTCACACGGCAGCCTCCGCCTATGCGGCTGTTGAAGACAAAGAGGTTGGTACCAATGGCACAGCTCACCTCACCCGAGCCCGTACCTGTCTTTAAATGCATCGGCTGCATCTGGTGGTTTGCGAGGCACCGCTTTATGTCACGATGCTGATTTCCTTTTTTTTGTTGTGTTGTTGTGTTTTTAAAAAAAAAATCCTTTTTTTTTTGGGTGCTGTCTGCCTGCCATGTCCGCGATGGCGATCTTGCACCTTGGATTGCAGCAGTGCCCACACACACACACACACACCCACACACCCACACACACACACCCACACCCACACACACACACCCACACACACACACACACCCACACCCATCCACCCACCCATCCACACCCACACACACACCCACCCACACACACACACACCCACACCCACACACACCCACCCACACCCACACACACACCCACACACCCATCCACCCACCCACCCACACCCACACCCACCCACACACACCCATCCACCCACCCATCCACACCCACACCCACACACACCCACCCACCCACACCCACACACACCCACCCACCCCCACACACACACACACACACACACACACAAGGCGACAGGATCGCCCTGAACCACTGGAAAATAGCCAACAGTTAACAGCGCCGTTGCACCAGCCAAGCCCCGCAAATGCATTTTGCACTCTTCCAGGGTTTAAAAACCAAATGCTTTTGGAATTATTTCACTTTTAATTTCTTCTTCTTCTTCTTCTTCTTCTTCTGGACTCTTGTCTCCCCACGACTCGAAATTAGTTTGCTGCCCCTTCTCCCATGAAACAAGAATCTTATCTTGACAGGTGCCTAAAACCCAGCTGTAATCCCTCCAAAAATAATGCACTCAATCCATGACTGTTTGTGGTACACTGCTGCTGTGAGCAATTGGCAGCAGTGTTTTGCCCATAAATCTACAGTCTATTTGTATTATATTATATTACACTTTACAATATATTCTCTGAAGCGCTTTGAGACATCTCAATGGCACTATATCAAATTCAAGGATTATTATTATAACTCATTCACAACTGCATCATATTATAACTGTTCACAAAAATTAAATTTCACATTTCTCATCGATACTCAATCCCCCTCTTTTTAATACAGGTTATAATTTGGTGAGGTTTTTGCCTTCTTGTTGGTAAAATGGCAGAATAAATATTTTGCGATTGGATTGCGGTATTCTGTGGTAGAAAGAGTAACACAGTAAAGAAAATACAAATTCTCCATTCTAAATTAGGGGGAAAGATAGTAACATTAGTTTAGATATAACACATCACACTAACAAGTGTATTATGTGTGTATAAAGATATATAATACATGTATCTCAGGTGCTGTCAGTGTTTTGGTATCTGATGCTTGTCTTTTCCACAATCCTGAGCCAAGGCATTGGATCCAGGCAGGTATTGGATCTCACAGCTGATGTCCATACATTCACACTCGCAAGCAAGATTTACTGAACAGTAATGAGGAACCGTAATCCCGGCTGATTTTCTCCTCATCCCACCCCCTGCCACTAGCCTAGGGGTGCTGAAGCTAATTACATTGCTCTGTATTTAGCCACTGAGCCTGAGTTATCCATATCCTGATTATCTCCTCTACTTAATTCACAATTCTGACTCAGTGCCTGTCTCTTCCTCGCCTGACTGACATGCTCCATTTCTTGCTCCCCTTCTGCTCACCTCCCTGTCACAAATCCCATGCCTCCTGCTAACCAATGCCATTAATGTTGAGTCGTGCTGTTAGCCTTTGGTACCTGATAGACAATTTATTCAGGTTAAGATCAAAAAGAGAACCAATGTTTTACACATAGTTCTAACTTGGTGCATAAATTTCACAGATTCAAAGCTATTCTGTGATTCCCTGTACAAGATTCATATAAATGTGAGCCACAGATCGTGACAACTTAGCGGTTCTAACTGTGATCCAAGACCAAAGCTTCCCTTCCTCCCAGCTGGAGGTGGATGTATGATGGCATGTGACCTGTAAAGAAGAAACAATCTTTGAAAGGTGGGAGGGAAAGATGGGGGAAGAGCGTAGCATTCAATTCTTATGCTATTCATTGTGATACAAGGGGGAAATGCCACTTCAGCCTCTAAAGAGTTAAAAAGCGCTACCTGCCAACAGTATCAACTCCCCCCCCACCCCCCATGAAAAATTTATAGTCATGAGCTCCCGAGTATGGATTGAAAAATGTGGGGCATGCTTATTACTGTGAAGACTGAATATTGACTAGACTCAGGATAACAGCGGGAGTGAGTATTAAAGAATGCATTGACAAGGAGGTCAGCTATTCTCTCCAGCATACCTCGCATTAACATCTCCAGCCTGCATAAATTGGTGAGACAATATCCGTCTCTTTGTTCCTTGAGCGCTGGGGTATTTTAATAAAGGCCAAAGCTTCATAGCCATAAACTGCCATTGTCACATCAAACAGAAGCTAATTACATGAACGTTTAAAGCAATGGAATTTTAAGAATCTCATGGTGTGGGGATTTGTCATGGTTATACTGCAATTGACTGCAAGCGTTGCATGGTAAATGCCTGGCATTCAGCACTTGCATCCTACCGCCTTTTCACAAGACGTTATCCACAATCCAAATTCTAAACAACTCAAAGAAGTAATGCAACTGTTTTCAGCGAAGTGCAATGTTGCCTTCACTGACGGTTCCCTGACATATGGAAAGAGAAAATGCATAGCCATGTCTTGTTCATAAGTTGCAATCTCACTGCAGTCAACTGTGAGTCGACTGTGCTTCACTGCTGTGAAGGTGGATTTTACAACACAAAGAATGCTTTTTTCTACAAGTTACTGAGCAAAACATGATACAGTGTCACAAACTACAGATATATTATTTTTTTGTTGCACTGCTTTAGACTGTCTTTACTCATCCATTTCTAGGCAAAGTGACCAAGAAGGGAAAAAAAACAGCAAAAGGCTCTTGCTTTCTATTCCTGTCTCATTTTATTAATTTTGATTCTGTGGTTTGGGGTTAAAATTAAGAGTGGGAGGTGTGGTGGAATCTGGGCTTGCACCTAGTGACAATGATGGTGGTGAAGGTCTTCCGTTGATGCTGTAAGGGTTCTATTTGAAATGAAGTGGGACAGTCTCAGCCTATTTATCAGTGGTGCCGGCTCTTACAACAACAACAACTTGCATTTATATAGCGCCCTTCAAGAAGGGTAGCCTAAATTAGCAGTCTCATTCACAGGAAGCCTGAGGGTAGCTGGTGTGAGTATCACATGGAGGTTGATAAGAGAGTGCTCTTCTAAGGCTGGGGTGAAGCACGAAGAGCTTTACGCTTCCTTCGTCTGACCCTACTGTGCCGGAGCTGGGAGAACTTGACAATGACATGTTCTGACACTTGCCGTGGTACCCAGGTTTAGAGAGAGAAGTTCCCTCCCCCTCCCCACCTTTTGTCTGTGTCAGTACTTACACAGAAGAAAACTAAGAAAGAGGAAGAGAACATAAAAAAGGAATAAGACAAAATAATGCAAATCTACATTTATATATCAGCTTCATGTCAGGAAGACGTTCCAAGGTGCTTAATAATACTGGCTTGGCGCCTTAGCTGAGGGTGGTGGGGAGGGGAAAGATAAGTGAAATCATAGTCAAAGATGTAGGTCTTGAGACATACTTATCAAATATCTACACATTTTCTTTATTTGTCTCCCATCCACCTATACCTGAAAGGATGGTGAATTCCTTTTTCTTTCCACTGAGCTATGATTCCATAGGCATCCTCTGCCCTTGGTCTCCCTGTCCAAGTGACTTATTTTTCTTAAGTGAATCAACACACTGAGGCCCATCCTGTCCCCGTCTCACAACAGTGTATGAACATCTTCCAGTAGAGGTTTCTAGGTAGCAATCTCCTCCCTGTCGCTATCTTATACTTGTGTTCCTCTGGTGACAAACGCCAACAAGTGGGAATGGCCTATTTATGCTAATTTCAACTAAATGTCTCTGTCTCTAACAGTATTAATCTACTGCCTTCTGAACAACCGCACATTGGAGGCAATTAATTATGAGCGGACAATCAATTAAAGAAACCATTTGTTTAATGCAATTTTGATTTGATGTTGATGCAGTGTGACAGTGACAGCTATGGTAAATGGAATTTCTGATTTACAACTCAAATGTCCTCTGATTGGGTTTAGACACAGAATTAGATACAGATTATAATACACCCCAAATAAATACTGTAACCCCAACACACCTATGCCATTAGCATGCAGTATAGTACCTGTATTTACCCTCTCTGTATTCCCCCTCCATCTAAGATCAGGTCAGGTTTCCCATTGAGCATAACTAGTAATGTTGAATTATGGCTAGTTTTATGTTATGGATTTATGGTTACTAAGAATGGGGTTGAGGGACCCCAAACTCATTAGTTTATAGACATCAATAGCCAGTGAAGAATAAAGGTTTCTTTCACATCTGTCTTGATTATTTTTAAACTCATGCCTCAGGGGTAGAAGGTCAAAATTCAACTTTGCTCATTCCATCAGCCAGTTCCTGCTTTAGGATATTTCTGTTATATCTGCAGAGACTTGCACATAGCAAAAAGGAAGCACACAACTTGTATGTTGTCAATAATGGTTCACTATTCTTATCACTCTTTGATGTGAGACCAAATTGGTCCTTGGTGAGCTGATGGTGTTGGTAGCCTGATCCAATGTGGAGCAAGTTCCTTTGTAAGCCTTGTTCCAATTTCCAGCTATTTGGGAGTGGGAAAGCATTAGCACAGTTGGGAAGGCAACTAGTTTAAATTCTGAGCAACATTTGGGATTAGAATTTGCAAACCATCCCACTACTCTATTGAATGTACAGTACTGATGTAGCTGCTAAATAAGCTGGAGGCCACCATGTTTCCAGGCATGGCTAAAATAACATTTAGCCCATTGAGTACTGAATTCCTTTTTTAAAAGCGCGACCATCCACATTGTTCCATAGTGGTATCTTGGGGAAACCAGGCAATCATTCAACACCCCCCCACTGAAATCACTTTGCTACTTGTTCATAATGGGAGATCCCATGAGACACAAATCTAAAACTGGGTCATCCTTCTTACATGAAAGCCGCTATAAAAATGCAATTTGTTGCTGTGGTTGTAAAAATGATCTGTTTTTATCAATGATTGTTCAATAGACACCATTGTATGAACTTCTGGTACTAAACATCATTGTATTGAATTCTCAATGGAGGGAGTAACCCAGCTAGGATTGACTGTAGCTTTCACTGGATGAGTAAAAATAAATCACGCATTAGGCAAGCAAAATTTTAAGTAGTTTACACGTGTTATCTTTACTGTATGATTAAATTACAGCCTTTTATTCACTCTCGAGGACCTATCGCTTTTATTACCTGTATTGTAGACTCAGTAAAATTAAATGCTGATCGCAGTTGTGTGGAAATCACATTAGTGAAAGCCTGTGTGAAGCTTAAGATATCAGCAGTACAGAATCAATTTTCTTGCCATATTCTTTCTTACAGCTTAAGTAAAAACTGGCATGAAAAAGATAGAGAGAAGTGAAATACCTCTATTAGAGAGCACTAACAATAGACCCCTTGAAACTGAAGACTTGGTAACAAGTCCCCAGAAATGCTTTCAGTATAAGTCCGAGCTGTGAAAAATGCAAGAACTCCTCTCTCTCACCCTGAGGTCTTTGACACACTAAGCCCTAAAAATAGCAATCTGTTCAATACTTCTTTATAACAGGGAAATCATGTTGGAAACGGGTAAACGCTCTGGCTGACTGCTGAGAGACTGTCACCAAAATCAATCACCTCCGAAGTAAACAGCGATTTCTCTAGGCATTGCCTGGTCTCTCAGAGTAATGGGATCTTGCCTCTGGCCTGAGATCCCTTCGGAGCTGAGAACCTGAATAACACATGTGGGATTCCTGGGAGAAAATCTTTTCTTTTACTAGGGGGCGACGCAGGTAGAGCTGTTTTACACTCTATTGCTACTTTTAGCACTCAGCTTCCTATTAGATAAAGCCCCCACCTCACCCACATCCCCATCATCCATTAAAGTGAAGACGCCCCCGATTATTGTATGTTTCTTGTTCCAGACTACTGCAGTCGCACTTGATCAGACATGGTGAAGCCTGGCTACAATCTGTCGGAGAAGTTGGAGAAAGTGCAGGGTGGAGAAGATGGTTTCGATAATATCCCCCTGATAACCCCACTTGATGTTAACCAGCTTCAGCAGCCTATTCCCGAGAAGGTACATACAGCACGTTAACGTCAGCAATGGAGTGACTGGGAAGGGTGGCTAAAGCCAGCATCCTGGACTCGTGTAAGAATCAGCTAGATGCTATGATGGGAGGAACAGTAGGGTGGGTGTTCTGGAAGAATAAGTTCAATAGAGCAAAATGCTTTATTCTTCCAAACTTATCTTATTGTAATATTACGAGTACCATTACTGGGAAAACAAGGCTTTGGGAATGAGATTTGATCTGAACCATGGAGCAGCAAGCTGGGTGTCACCTTGCCTCTTCAGTGCATTGAAATGAGCAGAGAGTGTAAAATCCTTTGATGTCTCATCATGTAGAACATAACTGCACTAGTATTCCTGGATGTTGGATATTAGCAAAATGTTATCAGACGTTACTGGTTAGATGTTGGTTTGCAGTGGATTGATGTAGATACATGTGAAAGCCAATAGAGACTACATTTACAAATTGGCTTGAAATGCCCAACAGGTCAATTGCCGGGCATAAAAGATGGACATAAAAGATCTCATGGCACTGTTCAAAATGAGAAGGGAGATTTTGGCCAAAAACCTCCACATAAATTGGTCATTCTATTCATAGTTGTTTTTGGATCATTGTTATGTACAAATTGACTACTGCTTTGGTTTAAAATCACACAGTCACTAAACTGTTACCTGTGAATCATGTGTCAGCTGGCTCAATGGTAACACTCTTGCCTCTTGAGTCAGAAGGTTATGGGTTCAAGCCCCATGTCAGGACTTGGAATCATATTGTTTAAGATGACGCTCCAATGCAGTGGGTGTGTTGTATTGTCTGAGATGCTGTCCTTCAGAAGAGATGTTAAATCGAGGTCCCGTCTGCCTGTTCAGATGGATGTTAAAGATCCTATGCTACTATTCAAAAAGAGAGGGGAGTTTTTCCTGGTATCCTAACCAACAATCCTCCAAATAAAATTGACCACTCACTCCATAGCAGTTTAGGGGAAATTACTGTGCTGAAACTGGCTGCCGCATTTCGTCCACAAAACACACTACTCTTTGCAGTACATCCTGTGAGGCGCTTTGAGTTGTCTCGATGATGTGATAAGGCGCTATATCAAATGCAAGGATTATTTTCAATAGATATTTCAATATTATAGATACTGCATCAAATACAAGGATTATTAGAAAAAAATAGCATTAAATAGCACCCCAATGACGGTTGAGTAAATGTATTCATTGAGTACCTGAATCATAGAGACTGAGACAATTCCAGGTTCAAATCCCAGTCTGTGCTGAGTTAGCTGATCTTAGTCTAGAATTGATCTGAGAACCCCTGTGTTAGGGGAGAGGCAAAACAGCTAATGTTCCCACTTCTGATCAGTATCCAGAATGGGCACTTAGACAAGGGACAGGAGGGTACTGAATGCCAATGAAGATAAAAAGTTAAACCCCTTCAGGAAAGGAGGGAAGAGAAGAAAATTAACGAGCAAAAAAAAAAAACGCTTTCCTTTGCAATCCATTGATTTGAAAGAGCTTGGAGGCTACAGTGCTAGACAGAGGACACCATAAACCTCCAGTAGTTGGTGATCCCAAGGGGTAAGGGTATTGAATTAACATGCACAGGTCACATTGAATCATTTCAGGTTAAATGACTACCTCTCCTGCAGTTAACTTAGCCTCCTCATGCTGTTCAGATCAGCAACTAATCTGAGTCACATCTCACGATTGTATGTCCTGTGAAGCACTTTGAGACATCTTGATGATGATGAGGTGCTATATCCAATGCAAGGATTGTTATTATGATTAAATAACCAAAAATTCAGCATTTAAATGGAAGATGATTCGAAATGTGGAAAGCATTAGAAAAAAAGCAAAGGCTTTCAAATCGTTCATAACTATTGTTGAATAAGTTTTTAAAAGAAGTTATCCTTGTGATGACTTTTGCTCTGTATGTTAATGCTATTTGCTGAAATCTAACTAGCTCTACACATTTTGAATATATTCTCATACAACCTGATATTAAATGCCTTGGAACAAGACCCACTCAAAAGTGGTTTATATATAAATTGATTTGCAGAGAAATGCCTTCCCACTGCCCAATTAACAGCTGCAGCATTGAGATCAGGAATGGGGAGTATAAGGTTTACATACTCTTCAGAACAAGAGAGGGCAGATAGGCGTGGGTGTAGAAAATCACATTTATTAAATTATCGGATGAATGTAGGGGAGTAGGTAGATGGGACAGGGAATCAATGTAAATAGCAGAACTCAGCACCCCCACATACAATTGTCATCCCAAAACCCAACATAGTGTGATAATAGACACACCCTACCCCTCCCCAACCCAGCACAGCATGTTAACCTCATCGTCCCCACAACCCTAACACATGGTGTTAGACTCCTCCAATCCAACTAAAAACTGGTCACATTCTCACTTCCTGCGAGCTGCCCATGTGCACTGGTTTCCCACACTAAAGAAATGATGAACTGGCAGGTCATGGGAAGCCGGCAAGTTCATGTACCAAAACTAACTCAGTGTTCTCAGGGCAGAGTGATCCCACCTTATAATGGGGATTCCATCGTGATTACATGTTGAAATCAGTATACAACCACCCATTAAGCTCATGAACAACTTTATCTGGGGGATTGTTAGCCAAGGGACTGGAGAAACCCACTTCTCTTTTTAAACAGTACCATGAGATCTTTAATGGCAATCTTAACATCTAGAATGGATCTTGGTTGAACGTCACATCCAAAGCATGGTGGCTCTAACAATGCAGCACACTCCTAGCACTGCACCGAAGTGTTAGCCTAGACTAGACTAATGTAAGTTCAAAGTCCAGATGGGGGCTTGAACCCACAACCTTCTCACTCAGAGACAAAAGTGCTATCTACTGAGCCAAGGCTTAAGGCTGCCAAGCACAGACTGTGAGCATCATGCATTGTATTTCAATCACAGTACATCTTGTATATGAGGCACAATTGAATTGTGTGGTTGGGAAAAGGCCAGCAATGGAGAGCCTGGTGCAGTCGGCATATGTGTTATTCACGCACCATTTGCTCAGCAGTTCATTTTCCCTTTTGTCACACTTGGGTACATTTCACTCGACTGTGAGAATGCTGAAATAATGCATGAAAATACAGAGATCTATCACACTTTCAAAAAGGGGACATTAATTCTCCCATAGTTGTTTTTGGGCAGTCGCATTTCCCAAGGGCTAGGATCATTTTTTCCCACTGCAGCCTATGGCAACGTCCATTTGAAGGCTGGTCTAACACAAGGGAATTCGAATGCCAGTTTAGCAGGTTACCAGCTTTTTCACTAAAAAAAATTTGAGAGCAGCTGGTAATCCATTAACTGGGAGTCAAGTGCCATGAGTTGAATTCAGGGATGATGCTATTGACTGTGTCTGACATATCTAGTGAACATTCAGTATGGTAAACATCAAATACATTGTTATATTGATCCTATTATTGATTTGCCTTTTTATATCTTATTGTTGCACTCCTGTGGATTTTAGGCAGTGTATGTCATTGGTTGATGCTACCGTGCCATCACCATTGGCCCTATGCATGTTTCGTGAGTTTGCTCACATTCGGATTGCAGAGAGACGTGGGTTAACGATGAATACAGCAATCCTTGCATTTGGTATAGAGCCTTATCACATCGTTCAGATGTCTCAAAGCGCTTCACAGTATATACTGTAAAGTGTATTGTCTGTAAATTTTGTGGGCAAAATGCGGTCGCCAATTGCACACAGCAATGTCCCACAAATAGTCGTGGATTGAGTGACCAAATTAGAGCACAGAAAAATGTTGCGCACTTGTTTGGCTTTGATTATATGAGAGGGACAATACACTGGCCTGTAGCTGGATTCTCACTTTGCCTGCCTGACTGCCTGCAGGTGATTGTGAAGACCAGGACAGAATACCAGCTGCAGCAGAAGCAGAAGAAGAAGAAGCTGCATGTCCCTGGCATCAAGAAACTCAACATCAACCTTTACGATGAAGTCTCGGAAAAAGTCAAGGTGACTCGTTCGGCCCATCGTCAGTACGATTTGCTCAGTTTTTTTTTTACGTCACCTAAAAGGATGGTTTAACCAAAGTCCATAAACTGCGAAGCAATGAAAGACAAATGAGAAAGAAAAATGTAAGAGGGTAATAGGGAAAGGGGAAATGGACAAAATGACAGTTCACATTCATACAGTGTCTTTCACATCAGAAGGACATCTCAAAGCCCTTCACATAGATGAATAGAGGTCTGAGTTGGGAGGATTGAGGGGACATGTTGGGTGGGGTTGTGGGAAAGGTAACGGGGTGGAGGGGGGGGGTAAAGATCCATCTTTCAGAGAGCCAGCACAGGCGCTGTGGGTCAAATAGCCTCCTTGTGTGCTGTAACGTTCTTAACATTCTCCAATTAATTTATGTCAATCACAGCCCCTTTGTGAAGGTGCTGCGTGAATGTATATTATGTCGTGAATGTATGTTACGTCGCTCGTTTACTGTAAAATATCCTTTGATTCCTGCAGCTGACTGGGCTGATCCTTATTACCATGGCGTTCCTGGCCTGCCTGCTAATGCTTGTCATGTACAAGGCATTCTGGTACGATCAGTTAAGCTGCCCGGAGGGCTTTGTGTTTAAGGTAAGCTGGCAGTCAATGTGCTTCCGGTGATTTACAGATGCTACAGAGCAAATTATGCACAATGAGAGAAATGTCATCTCAGGGTGCTAAGAGAGAGAAGATGTGTACAGTTGCTGCTGGTCGCAAAATCTTGTACCAGTAGCTTTTATAGCTCAAAATAACCAGGTCTCAGATAGCTTGGACATCTGTGTAATATGTCCTGTTACCTATCAACTACTCAGCTCGAAAAAAAAAGCTTTACTCTTTCTCTGGGAGGTATTGTGCCCATGTTGAATGGAGATAGTGGTCTTTTTGCTGATCCTAGTTGTGGAATGGTACTTGGTGCTTGAGTGGGGCAGAGTTGAGAGCAGTGTGAATGATGATCTTTCTGGGATGTTTTAAGTCCCAATAGAAATCCATCAGATCCTAATGGTATCTGGGCATCTCTGGAAGGCTGTGGAAAGGCAAGTTATTGGCTATTATACTTTTACAATGGAGAGGGGTGCAATAAGTGACCATATCTAATGGGAAGTTTTAATTAGATAAGAGAGTGAAGATTGCTTCTGATACCCAGGAGAACATCATTTTTTTCACAAGAAACTTGATGCATTCATGTGAGAAAAAGGAATAGAGGGGAATAGGAGAGGTTGGGGCTCATTTAGAGTATAAACACCAGCACGGACTAGTTGGGCTGAACGTCTTATAACTATATAACTCTATGCTGACTCCTTACAAAGTCGGCTCCAAAAGAAAATTGCAACAAAGTGGGATTCCAATGAGTTGACGCTTCGTATATCCAGTTTCCTTATTAAGGAATTCCTTTAGCCCGAATGGTCTGATCATTATGTATATATTATATAGCCATTACTACACCATCTGAAACAAGCAACAACCTTATCGGGGGTGAACTTGAGCGTCTCTAAAATGCTGGGAGTTCCTCTTTTTCTTTCCTCCTGATCCATGAAGTGAAAGCTGAAGCAGATAATGATGGATATCTTGGCATCTGGCCAATTAGAATCTTTGAGTCTAAGCGTGGCTTCCATTATGATTGGGTTGTAGGTTCATAGCGTCTTTATACTCATGTGTCCCACGCACAGGCCCTCTGCAGCTCCCTTCAAGAGTACTTTGTGTGCCACAGGATTAACCTCTTCCCACTGAATGCTCCTTCCCATTGAATGCTCTTGCTTGTGAGCATCTCAGTGGGCTACAGATTAGACCACCCAGCCCTTTGTATATGTAAGCAGTTCAATAGACTGCATGGTAATCTTTGCTTACTCAATTCCCGGCATTCAGGGGATACTAACGAAAGAGACCTTTACCATAAGTCCAATCGTGCTATTCTTGCCTTAGCTCAGTTCTTCAAGCCTTGCATCATTATATCAGTCACACCCATCCACACTTCCTTCTCTGTGAGTTGATTCCATTAACTTGCACACCATAGAAGGACTTGTTGTATCCTGTGTGAGACACTAATCCTCCATAAAATCCTTTCAGCAGTCTGTACCTCTAGGTTGTTATGACATTTGTAATGAAACCGTATCAGAGGCAGTGCAGACCTGCTCTGTTTGTCACTCAAATTACATCTATCAATGCAGACGGCTTATTAGATGAATGTCGTTCATCACATTAATTCGTAAATTGCACGTATGGCGTTGCTATACAAGGCCGCAAAAATAAATTGTAATTGAAATCCTTTCTTTGTAAACCGCAACATTGTAACACTCTCCTCGTTAACCTGCACCTAATAGTCTCCAGGATTAGCTAAGCAGGATGCATCCCAGCGGGGAGAGAGTTCGTATTCCATTCCAGACGCAGGAATTTCCATGTGTACGTGGCATACATAGAACTCCCAGACCGGTTTTGACACTCTTAAGTATGGTAATGGGTTTCCAAATGTGTCAGACCCCAGCTGATAAAAAAAAGAAAATAAGACTCTCCTGTTAAAAAGGCAGAACCACAGTCTCTGCATTTATTATGTGACCCTCTACTTACATTAAGTCCTTCAAGGTAATGATTACTTCTCATGAACTGTTGGGGTGAAAAATGTGTTATGAATAATTACCACCTGTGAAAATTATCACATCCCAAGGGATCTCAGGTCTGGAATGGACTTGGTTGATGATTGCTTCACTTGCCTATCACCCCTATCTTTGCTACCCTCACCCAGTTTCTTGACTCCCAGTGGATTGACTTGGATATCCACGCTCTTACCTACAAATTCCTTCACACCCACGCACCTTCCTCCATCTGTGGTCTTTTCTAGTCTCACTTGCCTGCTCACCTCTGCCACTTGGCAAACACCCTATTCCAAATAACTTGAGACCCTAAACAGCACCTGGCCTTAGCCTTAAGACCATTGTCTTCAAATTCAACCTCACAGAGAATGTTGGAAAATTCTGTCTGTAATCTATATTCTGAGGATTTTTTTATATAAAAATAAAAGTTACAGTGTTCTTAAAGCATCAGACTTGATGCATACTTTGAACTAGTTAATCTGGTGCACCAGTGCCAAAGTAAGAACAAAGGCTGGGAATAAGATATGTGACAAAAGCAACCAAATTGATCCCTTCGCATTTTTTAAAAACTGTATACTTTAATTTGCTGTATGTCTAGACATGGGTTAATAATGAATAATCTGTGTTCTTCGAAAGAACCTTTGCTTCCAGATTTGAAGGAGCTAAAGACTTTAAAAGGCAAGCTGAGTAAATTATAGCTATTTTATTGTAGTTGACACATTTCTGCTGGGAATGCTTATGATGCATTGTGCCACTCAGCCATGACTTTGATGGAAGGAATTACAGAGACGTGTGTGTGCTGTAGAGCTGATCACCAGCTATTGGGCTGGTAGATATGATGGCACTGACAATGTTAGGTTCATACGATGCTGGAATGCATGGCAGGAGATCAAATATCATTTCACCAGTGTCATTGGATTTCAACATGGGTTGTCTGGACCATTTCATTTGGATTGCCTTTAAGAAGCGGGATTCACAGCAATGCTGGAATCAAATGCGTGGTTACATAGTCGCCTTGTGAACATACCATATTTGACCATCTGTCTTTACAGTTGGGAACACAGAGAGAGAGAGAGTGTGTGATCAGACAAACAGCCATATGTCAACGTGAGAACAGCATGGGCTGCTATTTTATCATTATAATAATCCTTGCATTTGATATTGTGCTTTCACATCGGGAGGATGTCTCAGAATGCTTCACAGGATTTCCTGAAAAGTGCAGTAACTGTGTACTGTATTTTATAATCCTTGCATTTGTAGGTGAATTGTAACTCAATTGGATGCAAACTATATCGTCACATCCAAGCATAGCAGTATTTGAGAAAAACTGGGTTCTATTAATAAATTGCTCCATATAGTTTACAGTCTAAGCTTCTTCTCTAGATTAATGGCACTGCAGAAATGCAGTAAACTTGGCAAGCTTAAAGATGAACCTTGTCACAATCCTTGTTAGCTTATCAGTTGACTTGGGAACCAGAAGATTCTGGTTTGAATCTTGATAGGTGCCCTCAGCTATTTACCCTTTCAAGGTTAATAAAATGAATACCCTGCCCATATAACACCTGGGTGGGAGTTGTAAGTGGGATCTCCCTCTAGATAACCTATATTCAAGTCGACATGCTTGGGAAAGCAAAGCAGGTCGCAGTAGTCCAAGGCTGTGTTGACGGTTGACCTGCCTCACAATAAGCCTTGATATGTTAATATGTTTAAATTAGGGGAGATCCAGCTGGAAATGTACCATAATAACTGTCAATCTGCATGGTTATCATTAACCTTTTCAAACCTTGTTCCTCTGACTATCTTCTTTCTGATATTGGCCATTTTCTGGGGAGTGCGGATCATTTTTGCTCTTCCCTTCTAAAACCTTCGGCTTCATTTTTCATACGTGACCCATTATTCATGGGGGCACGAGTTTTCTTTTCAGTGACCATCGTCAGGCTTCAGGTTGAAGAGAGCCTGCACAAATCCGGGCTGGAAACTCCAGTTACCAACTTGGGCAGTTCAGCAGGGCTAAGTTTTGGCTCATATGACTCCGTTAATCCAGTGGTCAAATGGAAGCTTGGCTTTGAGTCAGGTTGTGCTCAGCCGTTCAGACGGGTGGTGGTTCAGATTTGATTTGAACTTTAAAGGAAACCATTGACCCATTCTTACCATTGAGGACACTTTCTATTCTCAAGTACTTCAAATACCAAATGCCACATTTAAAGAGTAAATTCAAAATACATTTAGAGAACTTGCCCAAACCTCAGTAGTGAGGTGATGACTATTTAGAACTCTCTCTACGTAGAAATGCTAAACTCAAGACATGTGACGGATGTATCAAATATACTGTACTAGTTGTACAAGTTAGCTACAGAGGAGCTAAAGATGGAGTAGAAAAGTGTTAAAGAGTAAAAATAGCAATGTATTGCTGACTTTGAACAGGAAGTGTACTGATTATATAATGAGAGCTTCAGAGACAGTGACGCAGCATATTGAGAACCTATTGGAAAGTTACCAATTCACCATGGCAATCTGTAATAGACCCTATTTCAGCCCTGTAACAATTAGAGTACTCCACATCTTTGAAATCTAGTTCCCACCTGACAGCTTAATGCTGAAGAAAGTGTTAAATACAAAATGAAAAAAATAACTACTTCTCCCTTATGCATCGAATAATTCCCGTGTGAGCGATGTGATAAACTAGCATTTCTCAGTGCATTGACTGTGAAAGCAATAGCCATTGGACAGTGGTGAGATACACGAACCTTGACTGTATAAACAGGACAGTTATTGGGTCCTGATGAGATAAATTGACTGTATAAACAATACATTTATTGGGTGGTGGTGAGATGCACTGACATCGCTCAGGGCAATGATGTGTAAGTCGTAAAATCAATGTTACCAAAACAGCAATTAGCAAAAAATAAAGCTGAGCAATTAAGTTGTTTGAAGTGGGTGTTTTTAGTAGATGAGAGGGATATGTGTAATAAGAATGTTAAAAAATAGAATAGAAATGAGTCAGTCATTGACATTGATAGAACTTGGAAGGTTTCCTGGGAGCAGGGATTCTTTCCACTCTGCTTCTGTTAAAGCTATAAGTCAAAGCACAAATAGGTGGGTTGGACAAGCAGCTGGACAGTTTGCCACACATTGCTCTCAATGACAAGTTATGCTGTTTGAGCTGGGTAAACTCCAGCAGTGCCCCAACATACACTCTGGGGTCCCCAACCCTTGGTGCTTGCCAACATGCGCCTCATACTGTCAAGAAGGAGTCATGTAGCTCAGTGGTTAGAGCACTCACCTCGCAAGAGAAACCTGGGTTCGATTCCTAGCAAGGCAAAACCTTGGACAAGTTTCCTTACTCCACACGCGTGATACTAATCCCTCAAGGAAAAAAAAATAATAAGTTGAACACTTCAATCCAAGACTGTTTGTGGGACACTGCTGTGTGCCATTGGCTGCCGCATTTTGCCCACAAATATACAGCGAATTCACTTTACAGTATTCTGTGAAGCACTTTGAGACATCTAGAGTACGTGAAAAGCGCCATATCAAATGCAAGGATTATTATTATTATTAAGAATTAGGAAGCAGGATATGTCCCTCCAGGGAGAATGCACATTCCATTCCAGGCACAGGGAAATTTCCATTGGTAAGTGGTGTACATATATGGAACGCTCAGTCTTGTTTCCAAGTATAGTCTGACATCCGGCTGACCAAAAAACAATAATAGAAATGTACTGTAGAATTTAAATGTATAATAATAATGATAATCCTTGCATTTGATATAGCACCTTATCATGTCTTTGAGACGTCTCAAAGCGCTTCACAGAATATACTGTAAAGTAAATTGACTGTATATTTTGTGGGCAAAACACACTTTATACATGCATGTATAAATCTTAATTTTTTTTTTAAAATACTTTTTTTATATCTGTGCACCTTTAGGAGTTGAACATCTCAACAAGCAATGCAATGGTCACACTTTGTTCTGTTCTGTTCTGCAGCACAAGCACTGTACACCCGCCGCTCTGGAGATGTACTACTCAGAGCAGGAAGCCGGTCCTCGCGGCAGTCTGTACACGGTGATCAGCCATCTAAGCCAAGCGAAGAGAACCATTCCTGATCTGTCGTCTCCATGGTTACCCATAGTTCCTGCCTTGAAAGGCTCAGCAAAGTCGAAGGAAGTCGACAGCAGCCACCAATAGAAGAGAAAAAGGCGGAAAAACACTCATTATTATTATTTATTGAATGTCTGAATACTCAAGCATTATGTAGTTCTCTTTACAGACAAAAACAAGCTTTCCCTCGGGGTTACATGCATCAAACCAAATCAGATTAGTCAACAGAATTCAGTTTGGTTGGTTTGGCTCCACCAGTTTGGAGTCGTAAAAAAATGAGGTTATTTTAGTGAGTCCTGAAAAATTCAATGTGGTTATCAGTAGGAAAAGTAGCGGAAATTAGGAATATAATAATGATAATCCTTGCATTTGATATAACATCTTATCATGTCTTCGAGACGTCTTAAAGTGCTTCACAGAATATACTGTAAAGTGAATTGACTGTATATTTTGCGGGCGAAACTCGGCAGCCAATTGCGCACAGCATGTCTCACGAACAGTCATGGATTGAGTGACCAAATTATTATTGGTCACTACCACAGATATGAAGCAACACGCACCAACTATAACTTCAATATGTCACATGTGACATCTCTTGTGGCGATAAGACCTTCAAGAAAAGGCCCCTATCATTTTCCAGTATTTATGTTGTGATTGTTATCAGTATTTTATCCAACCCCTGTTCTTGTAGGTTTCCAAACCGATCATTAGGGTAGTTTCTCAGAGTCTTTTCATTTATCGTTGAGCATCAAAGTCACCCCAAAAAAAACATTGTCCCGTCAATGCCATAATGTTAAAGGATTGCTTTTCAGAATAAGGTATGAAACAGAATCCAGGCTTTGGCAGCTAGAGACAGGAACTAGTGTTTGATGGAGAAACCAGCACAGATCTGCTTCCAAAACCTCAGCCCTGGATCTGTGCTTTTGCAGTCTTGGCTTAGCCAAACCCAATCATTAGTCTCACATCCTCAAACCAGTTTAAAATAAGTATGATACTGAGGCATTAAAAGAAGCATGCAAAAGGGACCCTTTTAGTTTCAAAAGATGCTAACATTTATCAAAGAATGAGGGATGACCAGTACGGATTACATGGATTAAGATGGGCAGCAATGGTTAGAATCCCTTTGTATCAGACTCTGCAGATTGAAAACATAAATGTGAGATTTGTGCTTGAGATATTGGGACAGAATTGTGTAAATGGTGCAAGTCTCTATCCTTCATTGAAATGATTAATGTTGTTGCTGTTTTGCTCGGATTTTCCCGTTGAACGGACCAGTGTATACTTGTCATGTGATTTTGCCACATCAGTGACATTAACATTAATCTTGTAGATATCATTGTGGCCCACGGCAAAATCTCAGACAGTGGCGTCACTGTGTTAAGCAACATACAGGGTTCATCACAGCAATGATTGATATATGTTTTTGGAAGATCGTTTAATTTCGTAGGAGAATGAAGTACATTTGTTTATGATCTAAAGACGTTTTACAGACTAGACAATTTAGCTCATCTGAGCATTTTAATTATCTTNAAAAAAAGTAATTCTACAACTGAAGTCGTTGCTTTAGCATTTCTTCTGCAGAGGTTCCTGTTGCAGTTCAGGGCAGATAGTGGATGTGGTGGCATCATTTCAAATAAATAGGCTTTGCTTCCCACTTTTATTGCCTTGTGCATGTTTATTGCTACCCCACATCCTTCCCTAGCGGGGAAGCGAGTGGAGTGTGGGCTGCTGACAGCTCTGTAAATGTGGTCAGTGCTGCTTTATTATTACAGGGGATGTAGTTCAAGTAGCTCTTAGTTTGAGGGTGTCTTAGATACACTATCTTTTGGGGGGTGCGCATAAATGCTTTCTTGTTCCCATATAGATGCGTTAATCACATGCCTAATAATAATCCCTCAAGAAAAAAGAACAATAATAAACTGGTCACTTCAATCCACGACTGTTTGTGGGACACTGCTGTGTGCAATTGGCTGCTGCATTTCGCTCGCAAATATACAGTCAATTCACTTTACAGTATGTTCTCTGAAGCGCTTTGAGATGTCTCGAAGATGTGAAAAGCGCTATATCAAATGCAAGGATTATGATTATTATTACAAGTAAAATTTGTCATTCACTTCACAGCTGTTTATGGGGCATTGCTGTGCACAAATTGGCTGCCGCGTTTTCTACAAAACACATAATCACAACTCAACGCAGTAATTCCTGTTAAGTAATTTTGAGACGTCTTGACGATGTGATAAGGCGCAGTTGACAATTGCATCAAATGCAAGGATTATTATTATTTATTTATTTATTTATTGGCACTATTGCCTAGGAGAAAGTAGTACATCTTTGAATCATTGCCCCCTTATCTACCAGTTAAAGGAGCCACTGGACTAGGGGTATGTACAGATGAACAGCAGAACCAGCCTTTTAAATGCCACTGTGATGGTTGCGGTATTACAGTACTGTGTGAGATTCAGTATTACAGTACTATGTGAGATTCAGTATTACAGTACTGTGTTGGCTGCCTGTGATAGGTGTTAAACATGCAAACTTTTCCAGTTTTTCATTTTCCGATGTTGTCTTTTACTCACTTTGGGGCAGTTACAGTGATACATGGTGTGGTGAATGACCAATCGTTTTTTTTTAACTTGTTCTCGGGACATTGGGGATGTTGGTAGGGTCAGATTGTATTGCCTGTTCCCTTGGCTTCCCTGAGAAGGTGGTGGTGGGGATCTTCTCTCTATATCGCTGCAGTCCTCGCGATGATGGCTTTCTGACTACCTCTATGGAGAAGAACATGTTAGAAGGTTTGCAGTGTATCCTAGAATTGCAGCGAAGGAAATGATTGCATGCCAAAGCCAGTGAGGAAAGCTGAGTGAATGGCACACAAAGTGTTAGCTTGAGCAGTTAATGGACACCAGTCAGATAAGTAAAGCCATTGTTTCATTGTTAGGAAGACTGAATAGGAAGGAGTTATTTTGACTTTGAAGTATCACTGTGATTGAATTTGTCCAAATGGCACATGGAGTCAGCACACGGTGCCCAATGAAGGCAGTCAATAGCAAGTGACAATAGGGTGGGTGTCCTGGAAAGATGAGATCAGATGGGTCAAAGGGCTTTCTTCATCCGAATGTATCTTGTGCTCCCGTGATAAGGAAAAGGTGTTGCAATGTTGTGCTCAATAGGTAATTGCCATCATTCAGAACAGACTCTTTAGTTAGTCCAGCTACATGATCTCCAGAAGTTGGGCACTGAGTGAGGAAAGAGGTTTTTTGCCCTCAGATACAACACGATTCTGAGCAGACTAGAAGCAATAGGGCAGTAAAGGCACTATTTAACCCCTTCATATTTCCTTGTGATGAATTCATTTTACAACAGTTCCACAGAAACGTAAATGTTGAGTGAAAAACAATGTGTCATTTGCAGGAGCCTCAAGGATTGATATTTGAGACCCGGTCAAAGGACGCTACAGTGGGGGAATTTTAGAGTTGTTACACTCAGCAGCAGCAGGATCTATATAGGGTTAACATGCACACTTTCCAAGCCCAAGGAAAAATAACTAAGAGCCAAATACAAAGTAAAAGCAGGGCAGAGGCTCAAGCAGCCACGCATGTGGGAAACGCATTGAAACGGCCACGTGCTGGAGAGAGAAGCTGAGCATATTGAACGGAAATCTGCTTTGATCCTTTCAACAACAGCTGTGTTGAAAGGCTTAAGGGTGGAATGGATTGGAAAATGCAACTTGAATCTGAAATAACTAATATTGCTTTATTTTTGTCATGCTCCTTGTGTTAATTTGGGCCTGCGGGCAGCTAATGGAATTTGTTTTCGTACAGTGCATTCAATCACTCGTAGAGATCACTGACCACCCCCTGTTAGGTTTTTATTTAAGTTGCTGCAGGTTGTGTTTGTTTGTCCAAAAATCTCAACGAAGCGATTGCTTCTAATAACTATTATAAATGTTGTAATGTTGTTGTGACACTTCTTTCAGCATTTGTCTTGGTACTTTAGCAGGCTAATGGTCACTGTGTAGCACTGTTCACTTAACAACGCAACAGGCTCCATTATGCGCCATGTGCAAATCGTGCCCAAATGCATTTCCACATGGTTTACATGCAGTGCATATTCACCCCATTTGTGTCTATTGATAGATTTTGTGACTTTCACATTGCAGCCAGCACTTTCAGGTGTTTAAGTGCCAAAATGGATCTAGTGATTAATAACTGCTTTTTAAAACTGATCAACGAATAAATGTACAGTTCTCCCTTCAGGTTATGGGCCTCTTGTTCTTTTTTTTAATGTACTTTAGCATTTCCTCCAGAGCATCTTTGTATCGTGCTCACTTAAGGACCAATTCAGACTACACCCCTTCGCCACGAACACTACTTCTCTCTATAACGGAATATCAAAAGTGACAGGTTTCCATCTGCAATTCATCAATAGATTCATCAGCAACTTAATGGCACCGACTGTGTCTCACACATGCTCAGTCTACGTGCTGGGCTGTTGGTTAACTCACAGTGTGAAGGGGCTGCTGTGTTTTTCCAAAAGTACGTACTGAAATTCTACGTGGAAGCTGAGCTCTGATTTCTCTCCCGATTCTGGTACATAAACTTGCCAATGACAACGCAGAACACGCAGGGTGCGTTCAAACAGTGCTCCAAAAGCGAGAAAGAAAAAGAGTGCCTCATCCCACAGTAAAAGTTTGTTTCACAGCGAAGCTGTAATGTGGTCCTTTCCATTTTCATCTTGTGTGCAAATTGGCTACCAAGTTTACATTCAATTACAGAGTCACTATACTTGACAGCAATTAGTTTTGAAGCGGTTAAGGTGAGATGGTTGACTTTTTCCTGAAAGCTGTCAAAGCTGTAAAGAACTGCCTTATTGGTGTTTCTCTGCAGTTGAATTAATTTTCCATGCTGATATTGCCACAGTAATATCACAGGGAAATCTGGGATGACTCAGTGGAGATTATAAACAGCACAAAATAAGTCATTGGCCCATTATTCTATATTAAAGGTGCAATAATCAACTCCAGCATTATTATTAGGATTATAAATTGTGTTAAATTTCCCCCTGCTCAGCATTAGTTCAGCACAAGCGAGCAATAATAATCCTTACATTTGATGTAAATGTGAGGATTTTTACGATGGGGAAACGTCTCAAAGGGCTTCACAGGATATACTGTAAAGTGCAGTGATTGTTTTGTGGGTGAACGCAGTAGCCAATTTACACACAGCAATGTCCCACAAACAACCATGCAGGACCAATTTTATTGAGCGGAGTGGGAGGGTTGTTGGCTAGGTCACAGGGAAAAATTCCCTCCTCTTCTAATCGTGCCATGGGATTTTTAACGTCCACTTGAATAGGCAGACGGAGCCTCAGTTTAACATCTCCTCA